AAAATCTGTGATTTTGGGTTAGCAAGAGTTGCATTTAATGACACACCTACTACAATTTTTTGGACGGTATGTCTTTGATAGATGTTAGATTTGTGATGATTGTTACATTAATATCTTACAAAATATTTGTTGTATAAAGTATCTTATTTTTTAAAATTATGGGAACTTACTTTGCAGTTGTGGTGCATTTACAGGATTATGTTGCTACAAGATGGTATAGAGCTCCAGAGCTCTGTGGATCATTTTTTTCTAAGGTATGGCTTTGCTTCTGTTTCGAATTTATTGACGCTGTAAACTTGATACATAATTGTCTGATGCTTTATAATCAAAAGTGTGCAACGGGCTCAGTGTTGTATACTTGCGCTCTGAGTGGCCTATCATAACTTCTAGGTGTGCATATTATGTGTTTGGAGATGAGTAACTTTTAGAATCATCTCAACATGGCTTTGGAAGAATTAGAACCCACATTGGGGTTAATGACAGTTGTATGATGTCCCTTGGTTTGTATAATTAAAGTAGTTGAGTGCCTAGCTAGATGTTACATTTGATTGAGTTATCTAGTATATGTCTCTTTTAAGTTCATTGTCTGGTGCGATGGGAAACCTGCAGTCAAAATCAATATTTTTATGATATTTTTATTTTATGTGAATATTGTTTAATGCGTTCTTGCTCTGGTAACTTTTGGAAATTTAATTCTTCTTCCTTTGTGGCTTAAAATCTCCATTTTTTGAGAGTTTTAATGTATGATGGCATGTGGATGCAGTACACACCAGCAATTGATGTATGGAGCATCGGTTGCATATTCGCAGAGGTGTTAACCGGGAAGCCTCTTTTTCCTGGAAAAAATGTTGTTCATCAGTTGGATTTAATGACAGATCTGCTTGGCACACCTTCATTAGATACTATCTCTCGGGTATTCAAATTATTCTTTTGTTAGCATCGTCTTGCTAGTCCTAGTCCCATTGTTAGCATCGTCTTGCTGGTCCTAGTCCCATGAAAATGCTTGTCTTATTCATATTTTTTTTTTTTTTTTTTCTTTTTGCAGGTTAGAAACGACAAGGCTAGGAGATACTTAACTAGCATGAGGAAAAAGCAGCCAGTGCAGTTTGCACAAAAATTTCCAAATGCAGATCCTTTGGCTCTGCGACTGTTGGAAAGGTTGCTGGCCTTTGATCCAAAAGACCGGCCAACTGCTGAAGAGGTTTGTTATTAGATTAGAAGAATTTACTAAATATGGTCTGTTTGTTTTGGTGGATTATAAATGTTTTGGTTTGGTGTTCTTTCAGGCACTGGCAGATCCTTATTTCAAAGGACTGGCTAAAGTTGAGAGGGAGCCTTCTTGTCAGCCAATTTCAAAGATGGAGTTTGAGTTTGAGAGGCGGAGGGTCACAAAGGAGGATATCCGAGAGCTAATTTTCCGGGAGATATTAGAATACCATCCTCAGTTGCTCAAGGACTACATAAATGGAACTGAGAGAACAAATTTCCTTTACCCAAGGTTATACTTTTCTTGGTTGATGCTTTTCGGTTTTGATCTTGTTGAGCTGCGTTCATAATCTTTGGGTCTCTGCATTATCCTGACTTTTTGTCCATTTTTTTTTACAGTGCTGTTGATCAATTTAGAAAGCAGTTTGCACATCTTGAAGAGAATATTGGTAAAAGTGGGCCAGTAATTCCACCTGAAAGAAAGCATGTATCTCTTCCTAGGTAGGGCCATTTGTCCATTCACTTACTTTGCAGTCTGTAATGGTCGTTGTTCATCAAAGTTGTTATTTTTGTCTTGCCTAGTAACGAGTGGACAAGATATAAAGTTCATTTTTTTTTTTTTTTTTTTTGACTATTATTGGTTGTAGCTCACATCTATTAAATTATATTGGGCTTTTCATGACATGTTCGTAGGCTTAAATTAGATTTAATATGGTCCCTGTCCGAGGGCATGATTTGAAAGAATAGTGTTGATTACATGCGAATGCACTTTAGCTCCTACCAATGATCCTTATTCATGGGTAAGAGTTAGAGTGGGAGCATGAGTGTGAGTGCAAGTTTGAGACCATCAATTTCGAAATACCTGGTGATGCAGTTTTTTCTGTCTATATGAACGCTATTAAAGGGCACTTTCTTTGTTGGTTTTAATAATTTTTATTTTTTTCTCGAGTACTTTTTTTGCTTGCTAGTAGCTGTTTGCATTTTGAGGGTACATTCTTTCATGCTTGATATGTGTTTTTTGGTTTACCTTCATTTAGCCTAAGTTCAAACTAAAAAATTTATTTCTCTGATAATTGTAGGTCAACAATTGTACATTCAAATACAGTAAATCCCAAAGAGCAACCAAGCATTGGCTCCAGAGATCGGCAGGCAGCTGCGGAGGAGGCATATAATAAGAATTCCAGGGAATCAGAAGGAATTCCTTCAAATATGTCTAGGACCTTGCTGGCACCACAAAGATTTCCACTGGGTATTCTCACTCTCACTTCGTTGTACTTCTAGTGTTGTATCTGTTATTCTTTTGTTAGTACGTGATCAGATTAGAATTTAGAACTGAACTTGATGTTCTCTTCAGCGAAACCAGGAAAAGTTGTGGGACCAGTTGTACCATACGAGAATACAAGTGTGATGAAAGATGCTTATAATCCTAGAACCTTCATTAGAAGCACAGTCCTTCCGCAGGCAGTCCCTAGTGCTTATTGTTACCGCAAATCTAGCGCAGGAAAACAAGAAAAATCAACTGCAATGGATTCTGAGAGGGAACTGTCCTCACAGGTAAAACAAGTCCCTCAATGTGGCATGGCAGCCAAACTTACACCAGACATAGCAATCGACATCGACTCCAATCCATTTTTTATGACACGAGCTGGAGTGAATAAGGTGGAACGTGGTAATGATCGTATTGCAATCGACACAAATCTGTTGCAAGCAAAAGCTCAGTATGGTGGGATTGGTGCTGCAGCAACAGCCGGGGGCAGTGCTGCAGCTCATAGAAAGGTTGGAACAGTACAGTATGGTATGTCAAGGATGTATTAGAGAAGGGATTAGAGGCAGTGGCGTAATAGTTTGGCTGAGTGGAGCAATCCCTATTAGTGGTGTGTTCCTTCAAAGTATCGGGACAGGTAGTGTGTTAGGATGTGTAAAAAAGCAGAAGGGTCAGGGGTGTCCTCTCTCCTTGATATAGCTAGCTTTCTAAGGTTGAGTTAGGTGCTAGTAAAAGTTTGGTTTTGGGAAAGACTATATGTTAGTGAAACTATACTATCACTCTCTCTCTCTCACACATACCAAAATAAAACTTATTATTTTTATTAAGGGAAGGAAGTTCATTTTGGTTTCTATTCCCTATTCATGATAAAATAAGAAAAAAACCCTTACATATATGACTAGTTATCGTGCACTTTGATAATTTATACAAGGATGTGATGTAATGTACTGCAAACATACTTTGTTGCTTATTAATGTTGGAGAATCATTGGTTTTTTAGCGTTATGTGTTGTATTCGTTTTTGGTTAACATAATCGACTAACTAATGTTTGAAAGCACCAACAGTGTAGGAACTTTTAATTTTACTAATGTTAAATGATTTAAGTAATAAAAGAGTAAACGGAGCTTCTCTACATGAAAGAATTCGGGGTCTGATTCAAACACGTAACTAAATGGGAAAATGTGTCCATTGTTATTGAATTGAGGGTCCCATTCCCATATGTAAAGCATGCATTGTCCCATCATAATTGGACCCATTTTCACATAAATCAAACCATCCAATCTTCATGCTTATATCATTACTAACATCCAACAAACTCACTCTCACTCAAATTCTCAACGCCTGTCATTTATGAATTACTTAACTTAAACTAAACTACTCGTTAATTCATACTTGAAACAAAACAAAACATAAATCAATCCTCTCTGCATACTATGACCCACACTTTATTAATAGCTAATGTACTAAAACCTTTACTTTCCAATTCGGCTTCATGTGATCATCCATTTTTATTGTAAGCTCATCATCATAGAGTTTATAATAAAAGCAGCAAGTTGAAACAGAATTTTATATTGCCCTAATCACAATTTATTATTCCCAGTAACTTTATGGAGCAATTTTTAAATATATCCATATAACGGGTGGGGTAAATATTATCAGACAATTAAGTAAATAATATATTGAATAGTTGGTTATGCGGATGATTTTGTACTTGAATCGGGTACGGACTCTTCAAAAAAACAAAGAATAAAATATAAAAAATTCATGGAGGCGGATGGAGACGGATTAGATCCAAGAAAAATAAAACAAAATGTTGTGTGAAAAAGCAACAAAAGATTAGGTGGGTCTGATCACATGGAGTCCCATATGCCCAACAAACAATATCTATCCCAGTGCCATTTGTTTCCTTCTTGGAAACACCACAAACACCACCACCACAAACACCACCGTCACCTCCGCCACCATAACCAACCAATCCACTTGTTTATTTCTTTGAGGGGCTCTATAGTAGTAGATGGGACCCCCCTCATAAAGTTGCCACGTGTCGGTCATGCTAATTCTAGTGATTAAGATCATAGGAGAGAGAATGCACATGGGTGGTGTTGGGTTCAAGAAAATCATGTGATCACATGTGCTCCCTCTCTCTTTCCCCTTTGTTTTGGTGTTTTTTTGCGGGCCCTCTTTTTTTTTATTTTCTCTCTTCTCTATGTCTATGAACCTATCCACCCACACCTGGTCATCACACGCTCCTTCACTGCGCGTCACACTTATTCCCACCTTGCATGTGGGAGACTACTACACTCTAACACTCCCCTTATGATAATGCCTCTACATACCACATGCAAGCACTCATTACCTCACAATCACCACGCGACGTAATAGGCGAGTGAAGTTTACAGCCCAAATCAAAACCAAAAGCAGGCCTTGCAAAGCCCAAACTCGGTGGACCCAAGCTTCGTTGGCATTGACATTTCTAGAACTGAACAATAATTTAACGCCCACTTCTTCTCATACTCAACACTCTCACTCGTGAGGTCATAACTCATAAACATAACCCTACTTCTCACTGTCTCTCTCTCTCAAAGCTTCTTCATTTTCTCTGGGGTATTTTTATGGAGAACGCGCTAAGCTCAACAGCCACCGTACCCACATTTCGGAAGAGTGAAAGAAAAACAAAAACAAAAATCCTCATGAAATCTGAGATGGGTGAAGCTGCAGTGCATGAGCGTGATTGTAGTTCTCGGTGTAGCAAGAAAGATGAAACTACTAGTAGTAGTTGTGAGCGGAGGAAGAGAAGAGACACGAAGGTTTATGATAAAGAAGAAGATGATGATGAGAAGGGTGAAGTGGAGAAAAAGATTGTGGCATTGCAAAGGATTGTACCAGGAGGAGAATCACTAGGAGTTGATAAGTTGTTTGAAGAGACGGCTGAGTATATATTGGCTTTACAATGTCAGATTAAAGCCATGAAAGCTCTTGCTAGTTTTATTCAAGGGTTGGAGAAGGAGAAGAGGAAATTTGGAGCTTGATGATGATGATGATGATGATGATGATTATGTTATATTGGTTCATTACTTTGATGACACAACAATTGTATCTGCTTTTAATTTCTTCAATTTCTTTTGCCACAATATTGTTGGGAGCAAAAGTATTCCTTTTCTATTTTTATTTTGTTTCTGGTTTTTATTTTGACAGTGCAATGAAAAGGAAGAGGATGGATAGTTTTAGGAATTTTTTTTGGGTTTAAGCTAATGATATATTTTTAGGGGGTTTATTCTTTTATTATGCTTATACACCGAAATTCCATCTATATGAACTAATTTTCTTTTTTCCTTTTATTAGACAGTATAACATTTTTTTTTTGGGGGGGAGTTTAATTTTCTGGGTTTGAGATCTTGACAGCTAGGAATTGTGATCAAATATTGCGAAAATTTATTATTATTATTTAGTGATTTCCCACGATCTGTTAAATAAATGAACATGGGTTACAATGAAATATGAGAAAGGATGGACAAAAGAGTGTTGAAATAAATATAATAACATATGAAAATAAAGAAAAGGACATTGAAGGTCTACTATATTTAGGGCAAATTATTGTTGTCTTGTCGAAATAAAAACTCTCCTGTCCTTTTTAAGACTGGGGCTCCAGCTTGTACATACCAACAACAACAACTGGACATATGGAGCTGAGGATTCAAATATTCACTTTCAAATAATTTCCTTTTATACAATTATTTGATTCAATAATAATTAAAACTCAAGTCAAGAAGGGTAGTAGTAGTTGTTATGATATGCAAGTGAATCAATTTAAACTCAATTCTTATCTTTACCGTATTGCTTTTGCTTTTTGACACGTGGATTAAAGATATTTCATTTGAAGGTGATAAAGGTGGTGTTTGGAAACGAACGTATAGTTTCCACTGACCGGGGTCAGGGTCAATTCTAAAACCAAGACATAAAGGCCTGATGGCTCATGTGTTTCTAAGGAGATCAATTTTATATAATCCTATAATAATATTTGTTGAGAATGTGTTACCTATATCATATAGTATATTTTTATACAAGTAATTAGATATTGTGTTTAAAATTAGAGAAACCCTCCATGTGTACCATACATTTCTAACAGTTTCTTATAATATTGGTGATTATCTTTTTAAGAGTACCGTTTGATACTTAAATTATAGAAGAGGTATTTAAACAAATCACTATATTAGTGACGTTATATATGTTATTTTAACGGAAGGTAAATGGGTGTATTATTATGACTGAATGCGACTTTTATAATAAGTTAATTTCCATAAATAAACAGGCGAACGACAACTTCCCACCCAAGGTTTGGCCAAATAANAGATCAATTTTATATAATCCTATAATAATATTTGTTGAGAATGTGTTACCTATATCATATAGTATATTTTTATACAAGTAATTAGATATTGTGTTTAAAGTTAGAGAAACCCTCCATGTGTACCATACATTTCTAACAGTTTCTTATAATATTAGTGATGTTATATATGTTATTTTAACGGAAGGTAAATGGGTGTATTATTATGACTGAATGCGACTTTTATAATAAGTTAATTTCCATAAATAAAGAGGCGAACGACAACTTCCCACCCAAGGTTTGGCCAAACAACGTTGGCCACCCAAAAAGTATCAAAGCGACAGTTTCCCACCCATTCATCCAATTTCTCCGTTACTTTCAACTGCAAAAGGATATAATGGTAATTTCAAAAAACAATTAAATGATAATTATGTCCTTTTATTCCCCAATATATAAACTTGAAAAACAAAACCCCAATTTTTTTCTTCTTATTTATTTTTTCTCTTTCCTCTTTCAATTGCACCAGGTTCTTGCTTTCTTTTCTCTCTTCCCCTTCTTTTTTCTTCTCTTCTTATCTTTCCTCACTCTGGCAGTGGCCGCTACTGGACAAATCTGGCCGACACCTAAGGCCCTTGCATTGGCCAAAGGCGCGACGCAAGAGACACATGCCGGCTTGATATGTCCAGCCGAAAAGCTTCAATTGCCGGCCAAATTGAGTCAAAGCCGAGTTGACCGAAGAAGACTTGATTATTTGATTGCTTTTTTTATATGATTTTTCTTGATTGATGATTGTTGTGTGTTGCGGTAATTGTGTTGAGAAATAATTGAAGTTTGGTAGTGTGTTTGGGATGGGTTTTGCTCAGGGGAAGAGGTGACTAAGACGTGTATTTCCAGCCATTGTCGAAACTGCGACTTTGGTGGTGGGGGAGATAATTGGGTTAATTGAGTTGACATTAAGATTGAGAAGGAGATTGAACATGAAGGCTTGAATAAAGGCCACGTATCACCCTACACGCCCCGTTCAGTTGATGATCATGATCATGATCATGGTGATGATGTGGATTCTTATGGCAGTTTGTTTGCGATGAACAGGAAAGAGTTCTTGAAATTAAAGAACATCTTGAAGATCCTAACCTGGTTTCTTATTTATTATTATTATTTTCATTTTAAGTTTTTGTTTTTATGAATTTTATGAGATGAGTTTGATTTTGTTTTTTATTTTCGGTCTGAAGATTCTCTGATTGATCTGCTTCAAAGTTTGGCAGACATGGGTATAACATTCAAGGCTTTAAAGTTAATTTTTTAATGGGAAAACTTTTGCTTTTGTTCTTGTTCAATGATTGAAGTTTAAAACTTAATGATAATTTGAGTTATAATTACAGGAGACTGATATCGGGGGGTTTGTAAATCAATTGAGAAATCATTCATCAAATGATGTAGAGGATTAGTGAAGCATTCTTATTAGGTTACCAAAATTTTAAAAAGAAAATAAAAATTANAATATTTGTTGAGAATGTGTTACCTATATCATATAGTATATTTTTATACAAGTAATTAGATATTGTGTTTAAAATTAGAGAAACCCTCCATGTGTACCATACATTTCTAACAGTTTCTTATAATATTGGTGATTATCTTTTTAAGAGTACCGTTTGATACTTAAATTATAGAAGAGGTATTTAAACAAATCACTATATTAGTGACGTTATATATGTTATTTTAACGGAAGGTTAATGGGTGCATTATTATGACTGAATGCGACTTTTATAATAAGTTAATTTCCATAAATAAACAGGCGAACGACAACTTCCCACCCAAGGTTTGGCCAAATAATAGTTGCCACCCAAAAAGTTTCGAAGCGACAGTTTCCCACCCACCCATCCAATTTTTCTGTTAATTTCAATTGCAAAATGATAGAATGGTAATTTCAAAAAACAATTAAAGGATAATTATGTCCTTTTATCCCCCAATATATAAACTTGAAAAACAAAACCCCAAATTTTTCTTTTCTTCTCTTTTCTCTTTCAACCGCACCAGGCCGCTTTATGTCTTCCCTTCCCTTCTCTTTTCTTGCTTCCTTTTCTCTCTTCCCTTTCCTTTTTCTTCTCTTTTTATCTTTCCTCACTCTGGCAGTGGCCGTTACTCACCGACACCTAAGGCCCTTGCATTGGCCAAAGGCGCAACGCAAGAGACACATGCCGGCTTGATATGTCCAGTCGAAAAGCTTTAATTGCTGGCCAAATTGAATCAAAGCCGAGTTGATCGAGAGAAGACTTGATTATTTAATTGCTTTTTTTATATGATTTTTCTTGATTGATGATTGTTGTGTGTTGCGGTAATTGTGTTGAGAAATAATTGAAGTTTGGTGGTGTGTTTGGGATGGGTTTTGCTCAGGGGAAGAGGTGACTAAGCAGACACGTGTATTTCCAGGCACTGTCGAAAATGCGACTTCGATGGTGGGGGAGATAATTGGGTTAATTGAGTTGACATAAGATTGAGAAGGAGATTGAAAAGGCTTGAATAAAGGTCACATATCACCCTACAGGCCCCGTTCAATTGATGATGATCATGGTGATGATGTGGATTCTTATGGCAGTTTGTTTGCGATGAACAGGAAAGAGTTCTTGAAATTAAAGAACATCTTGAAGATCCTAAACTGGTTTCTTTATTTATTATTAATTTTTTTCATTTCAAGTTTTTGTTTTTATGAGATGAGTTTGAGTTTGTTTTTTATTTTCAGTCTGAAGATTCTATGATTGATCTGGTTCAAAGTTTGGCAGACATGCATATAACATTCAAAGCTTTAAAGTTAATTTTTTTATGGGAAAATTTTTGCTTTTGTTCTTGTTCAATGATTGAAGTTTAAAATTTGATGATAATTTGAGTTGTAATTACAGGAGATTGATATCGGGGGGTTTGTAAATCAATTGAGAAATCATTCATCAAATGATGTAGAGGATTAGTGAAGCATTCTTATTAGGTTACCAAAATTTTAAAAAGAAAATAAAAACTTAAAATAAACTGAATTTACCATTTTGTTCTTCTGTAGTTGAAATTAACGGAGCAATTGGATGGATGGGTGGGACTCTGTCATTTTGAAACTTTTGGGATGGCAACCACTCGTTACGCCAAACCTTGGGTGGGAACTTGTCGTTCGCCCTGAATAAACCCCAAACTAGTCCACATAGTAAACCACGTGCTGAGCATACACTTCAATTGATAATCAGTAACCGTTGATTTTTCATCAGAGATTCGGTAACATATTATTCTTATTCCCTGAATTCGTTTAGATATAGTAATAAGAAACCCTAATCGAATAATCTCACTCCTCAAGGAAAGGTGGAGCTTTTGTGTATTATCTTTCTGTTTGTTTGCCTAGAAAAGTTGGCAAAGAGAAATATAACCTTTGATAGACCATTTTACGTTTTTGCAGGATCATCGTAAACAATGGCAGAGCCAGAGACTATTCTCAACGGTGTTGCTTCAACTGAGACAGAGAATCAGACGGCGGAGAGTTTCTACGATCTGGGTCAAGACAACAAAATAGCTGAACTGACGAGAAAGACGGAAGCGCTGGAGGAAGAGAACCGAGAAATGAAGGAGAGAATTAAAAAACTAACTATTGAAATTGAAGGATCTGAAGAGGATAAAAGAGTTTTCGAATCAATTGCTGCTCGAGCGGTTGAATTGGAAACTGAGGTTTCGAGACTCCAACATGACCTGATCACCGCGATGAGCGAAGGGGATGAGGCGAGTGCTGAGGTCGCAGAGTTGAAGAGAGTCTGGGAGAGAAGGGAGTGAAATGGAGGGATTAGAGAAGAAATTGATGGGTTAAAGAGTGAGAAAGCTGATAGTGAGAAGAAAGTGAGGGAGTTGGAAAGAAAAGTTGGGACTTTGGAAGTGAGGAATTGGAAGAGAAGAGTAAAAGGTGTGAGGTTGAAGAGGAAATGAGGGAAAAAATTGATGACAAAGAGAGGAAATAGTGGGTTAAGAAAAAGTTAATGATTTGGAGTCTGAATTGGATAAGTGGGGTTGAGAAGAAGTCGGTGGAGGAAAGTTTGAAGAATCAGAGAGCAAATCCAAGGAAATGGAGGCCAAGATTTTGAGTTGGAGAAAGAGATTGATGAGGCGAAGACGGTGGATTAGTGGACTCAAGGAAAGACATTGGATGGTTTTAATGGGAATGTGAGAGATTTTAAACCCTCTGTTGATGTGGATGGAAGAAGTCAAACTTGCAATGGTCGGTTGTGGCTGCGACTGCTCTGTGTTGCCGTTGCTGTGATCGGTGTTTGCTTGCGCGGCGGAGGTGAATGCATAATTGGGTCACGATCACGAGTTGCGATAAACTTTCAATTTTGATTAATTATTTATGTTTTTTTTTTTTTTTTTTTTTTTTTGCTTGCCAATATTCTTGAGCCCTTACGGAGGTTGGTTTACTTTGATGATTTGGGGGTTTTGATGCTTGATTACTAGTTGAATCATTTTGTTGAGATTACTAAATTATTCTATATAGTTTTCAGAAGAGTTATTATTATGCTTTTTTGCTTAGCGTAGTGGTAGACTTGGGTTTCCTGTTGATTAATCACTGTGTTTTGCTACATTAGTATGTGTAGTTTCCTTTGCTTTTGGGCTGGATATTGCTAAATGTAGACATGAATTTTCTGGTAATTGTTTGATTCAGGGGAATTTCTGTATTGACCACATCAATCAGGTGGTTTAGTTGCCTTGTTTTGTGTATTTTTCACGAAGCTAAGTACGATATATTGAATTCATAGTTATGCATATTTTGTCCCAATAGTTTGGAGAAGTTTATCTTGCCACCAAACATAAACTGAATACATTTGCCAGTCCTGACCCCGTAAGAAAAGAACTAGTTTCATTTTGCTGTTGTTTAACCTTCTACCTGTTAGACAACAGACGTTTTGATGGACAATTTTCATGAGGTCCATCTTATGGATCATGTTTGAGAGCTATATGCTGGAAGTTGATCAGCTAGGGAAGCCATCTGATTTTTGATTGGTTCACTTGCTCCTATTTTTCAGAACCATAGTATTTCTATCCTTTCGACTAGCTTTTAGATGTTCATACTAGGATCAAAATAGATACAGTTCAATAGCTCTAAGTTGTTTCTGATGGTAGTGGGGCAAGTGTCCTCTGTTTTTCAGATTTTGCTTATAAATTGCCTCATCTTTCTCGTTGTCTTAAATAATATTATTGGTCTACCTTTGGATATCTATTCTGGAAGGTTGACCTCTTAATGGATTTCTCTATACAATTAGTCAAAAACTAGATATGTGATTGTTTTCTCTTAGTATGTTGCTATGGCCCAAATAGAGTGGAAGGTTTTCAGCCTTGGAAGTTGCTGGTGTTGCCATCTATGATGGTTCCTACTACCAGACAACTAATGCAAACACATCTGTTAAGGGCCAATTTGTGAATTGTGCAGGACAGCTAGGTACCGCAAAACCTTATCTTTTTAACATGTGGGGGGTGATGGATGTACAAGAAGCAATTGTCTTGGTGAAGTTCTTGCATCTCTCATCTCTTAATGGACCATGGGTAGTACTTGAGCTCATTTCTGGTTTATGGAAGGCAAGTGATGTCTTTGTTCAGTTTTATTGGTTCTTGAATTTCTGTTCCATCAACTTTAGGCCCTGCGCATCTGACTCTTATGTCCCATTTGTTCAGAAACAGAATCTTAAAAATACAATTATATCATGAAAAGAAAAACTATTATCCAGTAGCAGCTGCAGGGATATCTTAATGCAATCTGCCACGCAATACATAGCTTGATTTTAAATACTCTGAAATCTAGCAATAGCTACTAGCTAGTCCGCATTTTGAGACTTCTCTATCAAATATCTGCTGTAAAATGCGCCCACAAAATAGAGGACCCAAATATTAGCTCTCAAGGATAATTATGATGATCACCACATCACTAAATTATTCATTAAAGTCTTATTATTTCTACCGCTAGTCCTAATGATACTCTTCAACCATATAAAGACCACATAAAGTACCCACATCTGGAACCCATAAATTTTCATCCCCAATTGCTGAATAGAAAAGACAATCAACTGGAACTATCATCCATAATGATTATAGTTAACACCACAACTTACAGACTCTCCTGCTTTATGTAAACCTTTCTCTCAAGTTCATTTTAAGAATCCTTTTCAATCATTTCTCTGAATTTGAGAGAAAAGCTTTTAAAATTACTGTGTTAATGTATTGCATAGGAAATATAACTAAAAATCATGCAGATTTTACAATCAATATAAAACAAACTCAAGAGTCCAAACTCTGAGAAATGAATATAACAGTACATAATCCACACAACACTCCAAGGAACAAGCAAAATCAATTAATACCAGGATAATAAATCAACATAGGATTTCCGTTCACCTTCAATTATCTATCAGAGCGACGCAGAACGTCAAGAAGTCCACAGCAGCTTCTCCAGGAAGTTGGTCGGAAGTTGCGCTGAGTCAAAGATATAATAGGCTGGCAAAGAAACAGTATTCAATAGACAATAATTAAGATTTAGCACTACCTCAAATAATAATACTAACAATTCCAAAGAAAAATTTCCATTTTTCATTCAATCTAATGATGATTTGATTCGGGCTAAGTTACAAACCGGATTTCCAGTGCTTCCAGGAATGGGCTCAGGCTTGTTGGCTAATTCACGGGGATTACTGGTGTCGTCAACATTGCCTACATTCGCCATTGTCTGGTTTGGTTCATCAACAGTGCTGGGTGACTCCTTAGCATTCTGTTCCAAAACTGGCAATTTTGTTTCCTCAATTGCGTTTAAAACAACATCAGCTGGAGGAACCTCACCATTCTCCTCAGAAGAAGGCAGAATTATTTCCCCAATCATCTCTGAAACAATCTCTGTTACAACTTGAGAAGCCCCATTATTCTCATCAGAAGAAGGCAAGGTTTCTTCCTCAATCGCCTTGGACATGTCATTTGTTTCATCCGTGGAAACACCATTGCTCTCGTCCAAAGACTGCGAAATGTTGACTTCAATTTCCTTGGATTCTGATTCAGCAACATCATCATGAGCATCTAATATCTCAACTGCTACTTCAACATCCTCAGTCAACTCTTCTGCAAGGGAAACCTCTGGCTCAATTGGATCAACGACTGAGTTGATTACCGTTTTCTCCTCCTCCAATTCTCCTGAATCCACAACCCGAGGACTATTCTCCACAGTTTCTGCCTCTTCATCTGAACTGCTACTCTGCGAACTTGAATCATCTCCATCACGGTCACCATTTGCAGACTCAGAATTCCCATTAACAACAATTTCTCTCAAAGATTCAGCTTCAACTTTAACCTCTCTTGACTCTTCAACAACCACTTTCTTATCCTCCTCCTGTGACTCCACTTTCTGGATCTCCTCTAATTTCCCGTTTGAAGATTCTTCCATTTGGTAATGGTTTGTAGAAACTAATGATACAAAAGAAGAATAATATCTCTCTTTTTCCCTCTTCAATTCATATATTTGTCATAATAGTCATCTAATTCCTTCTCTTCGAAGTATTCCAGCTCACAAATCCCTGCTTAATTATTCCAGCTTATTTGAAAAAAAAAAAAAAAAAATTATTTGAAAAAAAAAAAAAAAAAAAAAAAAACCTACAGGTCATACAATAAGACATTGGGAGATACCTTTAAGAATAGAAATATCCATTAAAAATTTAATCAACTATAAAAACAGGTAGATTTAAGGGATGAAAGTTTTTGAAATTGAAGAGCAGGTGTAGAATGGGAGATAAGAATTGCGTTATTATATTGGTGTCTCCTTGGCTCTTTTAATTATGGGACCTCATGACATGAATGACTAAGTTTTTGACTGGTTGTTGAAACAAGTTTCACAAAGAAATCAATGAAGACAAAGAATGGTAGATATATCTTTGTATATAAACAAAGACGTTTGAAGGTTTCTCTTTCAATCCTGTCAGTTTTAGTATTAGGATTTATGACGGTTGGTACATTCTGAAAGTTAAACCTGAAAGGTATTGGTTTCACATTTGGAGAGCTGGATTTTGCTTTGGCGTGGGCGGGAATTTCAACTTCCAATTTATAAGTCGCCGGCTCCAACTACTGCCGACCCTTAGTGCCATAAATTTTTTAATTAGAGTAAACGACATGTTCCCACTCAAAGATTAGCAAAATGTTTCATTAATTCCAATTCTCACCCTTAAAATAACGCCGTTAGTGAGAGTTAAGTATTGACACAGTTGCTGATGGTGTTATTACTAAATTATCCTTTCATCATCATCTTCTTCTTCATACCAGCCATTGTCACTGCCACCACCACCTAGTTGCACGATTTTTGCCCTTCTCCGACTGCTCCCGCGTCGGAAATCCCTCCCGCGATCACCAATCATCTCACCGACCTCCCACCTCCAAAAGCCCTATCCTCCCCGACACCAATTGCCCGCTGGTCGTCGCCCCTACCATTTAGGATTTCGCCATTTGGAAGACTTAAGGTTTGAGATTTTTGAGATTTTGATGGCTGTTTGGATTGGATTTTGATTGTCGAAGTAGTTTTGTTGTGTGTGTATCTGTGTGATTGATTTCCGGTTGCCGGTGCTCACCATCTGCAACTTCGAAGGTTGGCATGCCAACTGTTCGAAGAAAGTCTAACTCACGTTCACATCCTTTAACACAAAAGCAAATCCGGACTTCAGATTCTTCAAAACAACATGAACACCATTTAAAAACTACAAGCTTACAGATCATGATTAATGAATTAAAATCAAACAAAACACTTGTCTAACGAATAAAACACCAAACACCCATTTGAAAAAACCCCAGAACAAACCTGAAGATAACCAAAACAATTATCTAAAGTCAATGGGAGAAGAAGTGACTGACTTGCGGCGGCAGAGGGAGGTCACGGGCGGCAAATGGTGATAGGGAGCAAAGTCTAGTCGAATTTGGTGGTAAAAACCGGTGAGGAGCCTGTTGAACGGCCGGCAGGGTAATGGGTTGGAAATCATAAGGGTTTTGGAATTACCATTTTAACCGTTAACCGTTAGATAACACAATTTTCTGTTACTATAAGGGTGGATATCTGAAATAAATGAAACCAGGGTGGACGTTCCATATCGCTAATCTTTGGGTGGGAACATGTCGTTTGCTCTTTTAATTATTGGATAAAGCCTCAACCTGGACAGGGTGGGTCCTCGCTTCAGTCTCCATAATCCAAAGTTTAGCTCAACCAGCCGTAACCCATAAGGCCAAACCTAACCTGCAATTTACTGATATGTTCCAATTTAGAACTACCTAGAAAAACTTGAATATAATTGCAGTTAAAACATCAACCAGTCATACAGCCCTGCAACAAAATGTCAAGCTGTCAAAACTCAAAGTTTAGTTGGCGAGTATGTTAAAATAGGTTAATGGTTTTCCTGGTTCAACAGATCTTCTTCCTAATTAATGCAAATGATTACTGTTGCTGGCAATTATAATTGGTGGAAACATTTCAAATTGAATCAGTTATATTTCCCACCTCTCAGATTGGTTTTAGCCAGTTAGGCATACTAAATAATTAAAAACAGAATTCTGATGATAATATTGTAAAACAATAAAACTGACACAGGTAGGTACTGTATCAACTCTATCCTTAAAATTTAAAAACAAAATTAATAATTAACTATGTATTTACATTAATAATATATAAAAATTTAAAAGAAATTACAATGGTTGCACGGCAGGCGACATCAGTCAACAAGCATAAAGCACACCATCGGAACACAATAGTATGAATTTGAATTGATTGAAGACCAAAGGATAGCATGAACATTAGTCTTCGTTTATAATATTCCTGTTCCACATGGCAATAGCAATAGGAAACAACTTCGCTGAGAGATTTGAGCCGCCTTATTCCTAGCACAGTCTGCAAAAACTTATGAGCATAGCGCTGCATCTAAAATGAAGTAGCTTTAAACATCTACATTTAGAATGGGACATTGAAACAAACGACGCTTGATCCATTCTTGCAATTTCTGTTTGTAATAGTAAATGCCATCATTTCTTATCCTCCAGATACAATGTGTGCACTGCAATCTAACATGAGATGCCCAAAACACTCCTTGGGTATCATTTTTAACATATACATAGCACCATTTTAGAGGGAACAAAATCTCTCTGAATTCCCATGAAATTGTTTCCCCAGTTGTAAGCATCCTCAACTGCTCCACTTCCGGATCCCCACACTTGACATAAATTGGGTGTTTAGCTTCGTTCCTTAGCTCCACCGTCACCATGGGAAAAAAGTAGATGAAAAATTTACTGGAGGTTACAGGGTTGGATAGAGAAGGTTTTAGGAATGAAGAGACTAGGATAAACAAAATCAAGAATTTTATTAACTTATTCATGATGAATGTAGAGGTAATGTTACCTAATTTTTAAATTTTACAAAATTGGCGATGGTTCAGGCATATTTATAAACCTCTTAAGAAAGTGGTTTGGTTATGGGAGCACAACTAATTGTAGTGTTTTTTGTGTGTAGTTAATCAGTGTCTAGCTCCTCTCTTTCATTAGTTAAAACTAAAACACTATCCATGCCATGTTATTAAAGCAAATAGAAACTGAAGCATCCAGACAAGGGGTTTCAGCAAAAACAGTTATATTTAAAGTGACAGTTGTCACATGTCATTTTTTTACAAGCTTTTTGTTTGTGTGTATATATATATATTCATTATTTGATATATAGTATAATATGTTGTTGGTAGAGATTTTGGTGAAGGATAGTATTGCCTGTCCAGCTATTAATTAGATGGTTTTGCAAGGATTACTAATATAATTATAGATTCGAACAAACTTCTAAATAAGCAATCCATATCTGATACAGAATTATAGAAGCGATATCGTATGGGTCAAGTTACATATCATATAATTGTAACCATCCATCTATTGTAAATCATTGGTGAAAATTGCCTCATCCTTATTTAAGAATCTTTCAGGCTATAATTTAAATCTGGGTGAAGTATTTCTAATCCTTGGCATTTAAGTTTGATAATTAATTAAATAAAATTGAACGGGCAGATGTGTACTGTATTATAGACATGATTTTTATTCCTCTTACGATAAAAAAAAAAAAAAAAAAAAAAATTGTCTATCTAAAAGAAATTGGATTTTTTTCTCCATATATTATTGTATAAATTTGTGAAATTATTTGTTTTCATAGAAGCCAATGCAATCGTATTAGTTATACTGCACATTAATTTGTATATATAAAAGGAAAAAGTTAAACAAATTTGAGAGTCTTTCATTACTCACAAATGAAGTCATAGCACTTACAAATAAAAGTAGAGTCTTAGATACAAGAGAAGACAGATGGATCCGTATATGATAATCATCCTTAATTCTATCTTTTATTAGGGAAAAGAAGCCAGCAGAATAACTTAGTTATTAAGATGTGTTTTCTGTGATTAGACCAAAGTTATACATTACATATACTAAAATACCAATTAAGAATATAGAGAAAAGGAAAATATTGAAATAAACAAAGATTAAACATGTAAACAATCCGACCCAAGTTGTCCTACAATAAGAAAAACAAAACTATGTCCTACGGCCACTCAAAAATTTAATGGGCCTCTTCCTTAGGAGTGGGCGGTTTGGGTACCTACCCAAATTCAAAGGAAACCTGGAACATAGGTTCCGATATTGGGTACTGGAGTTAATTTCAATTATCTCTACTTAAAAAAAAAAAAAAAAAAAAAAAAAAGTAAACCCTCAAAAAATTACAATACACTTCCGATAATTTAAATAATAATTAGTCTCAATCTTATCTCGGTATTCGGATCTCGGTTTCGGTTTCGGTTACAGTTCTAATTTCGATTTCGTTTCGGGTCTCAATCCTATAGAGGTCGAACCAAAATCCGAACCAGCCAATTCCTGATTTCTAAAACCTGAACTTACCTTGTGAGGGTCTTTTCGAGTAAGAACTGAAACCGAAACCCCAGGTACCTGTCAGTTCCAATTTCGCGGTTCTTTTGCACACCCCTACTCCTTACAATCATTCCCATCTTCAACTTAATTCTAAAGGAAAATGAAAAAACTATATATATATTTTCAAGATTCTTAGCTATATCTACAAAAATAAGTAACTTTGTTTTCTTGAGAATATTTTGTTAGACAGCGACATTTGGAATGAGACCTAGGAATTGTTTGACCCATTTCTTGTGTTTATCTTTGTAAAAGTAGATTCCGTCGTTTCTTATACTCCAACAGCAATGGCTGCATTGCCATCTTACATGGGATACCCAGAAAGCTCCCATGTTATCATTATCAATATGCACATAGCACCATTTTAGAGGGTATACAATTTCTCTGAATTGCCATGAAATGGCACTCCCTATGTTAAGCGTCAACAATTCTTCCTTCAATTCTCCAGCTCCTCATTTCACATGAACGTTGTGTGCAGCATTGTTTATCAGCTCTACCGTTACCTCTGGAAATAACAAGATTTTTCTGGGGATTGAAAGTTGAGCCAAAGGAAGTGTTAGGAATGAAAATACTAGGATAACTGAGACGATCTTATGCATGGTGGTAGTGATTGGGACGGTGTTGATGAATCTTTTAGGTTGTAGATTAAGGCTCAGGTTTGATTTTTTCTTGGTAATTTGTCTTTTGCATAAAATTTGATAATTATATAACGAAATTTACTGAATAGGAATTAGAAAAATGTTGGATTTTGACGGTTTACTGGTTAGAAAGTGGTTTGGAGACAAGTGATCCTTTATGATCTGGTTGTACTGGTATTTGAAGCACAAAAACTACTTAAACCAACAAGATTTCAGCATATAAATTTTTATTTCCCGACCTGAAAACATAACAGTTTGTAAAGTTAACTTACGTGAATTATTGTTCAAGCCTTTCGTTATGCAAGCTATAACTAGAGTCACTGGCACCCCCTTTTGACAATTGCTTAAACTATCATTTTTTCCAGCTGAAACAAGGTAAACAATGCGGTTAGGGAACCAGAAACTAATGGAAAATGTTTTCCTGTTTTCCCATACCATACAAAATTGTAAGGCGTTAGGATATGCAGCGGAAACATTAGCAGCGCATAATCACCTGTTTTCTTTTAGATAGTATCAAACAGAAATGGGCATTTAAAAAAAATAAAAGTTTCACAATAGAAGCCATACTGGAATTCTGAAGGAAAAAGTAAAAGAAATAACTAAAATTAAAATCAAAACTGAAAAACAAAAAAATAAAATTCATCAGCTCTCTATAATGAAGATACAAAATTTTGCAGTTGCCTAATTCAAGTTCTTCAATATTCATCAACTAATGAAAAGGATCATAACATAAATACCGTTTCATAAATTCAAACAAAATCTGACAGAAGGCTAGGCAACCATTCTTGCTCTGTTAGTCCAACCTGCAGTGAATGATTCAAGGAATCCTCTCCCACGAGCTTCAATCAGCTACCATGAATCACTATGCTACCGCCTTTTTCTTCGCTTTCCTTTCCTTCACCTTCATTTCTGCATTCTTCAACTTCCCAAGCCCGCTATTCTTCTCCTTTTTTCCGCTATAATCTTCCCCGCCTTTCTTCAAAGACAACTCTTCTTTGTTTTTCTTCTTTTGCTTGACATCGTCCACCCTTTTCATCTTCTTAATATCATCATGTTTCTTCACCTTGGCGACTTTCTTTTGTAGTTTCTCAGATTTCCCTTTATCCCCCTTCTTCCTCTTCTTACTCACACTACCGATTTTACCATGATCACTATCATCTCCTTCACCATCATCACTTTCGACTATATCTCCCTCACCATCATCACTTTCCCCAATATCTCCTTTACCATCATCACTACCCAACTCATCCTCATCAAAAACCTCCCCAATATTACTATCCATATACCTAATCTCATGAATCCTCCCTTTCTTCTTCGACTTCTTTTTATTACCATCATCACTAACAGTCTTAACATTCCCTTTCTCCACCTCCTTATCAACAATTTCCTCTTCTATATCCTTAATTCCCTCAATCTTTAACTTCATATCTGGGACAGCCTGATAAACCGGCAAAGCCAAACTCTCCAACATTTTCAAATGAAAGGATCTAACATTCCCCCACTTCCTGGGAACAATCTCGGCAATTCCGTTAATTGCAGCCATCACATTCTCCACAATCTCCTCCGTGCCCATCGAAGCCTTCCCTACCTTCAAAACACTACAAGTCCCCGTCCTCAAATACAACAAAGCCGACCCGCAAACTTTCTCAACCTGCTCCTTCCAGTTCTTATGCTTCAAATCCACCGGAACCGGAATCTTCTTCTTCTTGAAAAAATGCTTCCCCAACAACTTAGGCAAGAGTGGGACCACTCTTTTATCAGCAAAAAACATATCATACGAATCACATAGCTTCCTCTTGGCCTCAAACGGGCGATAATCAGTCTTTAATTTGGTAATCTTGATGACTTTAGAGATAGGTACGTTGTCGTTTTTAATTTTCTTCAATGCAGCGTCTTTAGTGAGGTTAGACTTAGGACGATCATCGATTATTAGGCAGAGTTCCGACGAGTTGTCGCCTTCTTGACGGATTAAGGGGTGGGGGAGCGGGACTTTGTGAGGGTTGGTGCGAGAATTTTGTGGGATTTTCTTGAGAGTTAGAATAAGGTAGATTAAATCGTCTTGCTCAAGAAGTTGGGGCTTCTGTGTTTGGGATTTGGAGTTTTTCCACTTTAAGAGAGCATTCACAGCTGTTTCGACAGTCTTTGAACTCACCCTCGTAGGAGCTTGATTGGTGGTGGCCATGGTTGCTATTGGTACTTGCTAGAAGAAGGAGGCTCTGACGGTTGCCTCGGCTCTACTCAATTAGGATTTTTGGAGTTTTGGGGATTTAGGGTTTTGGGAGGAGAAAAAGGAGATAATGGAGATGGGCTGGGCCGGCCACATCTATTATCTTCTCCTTTTGGTGGCCGTAAGTCTAATTTTTTTAATTAATTTATTTATTTTATAATTTGGACCCAACCGGTTACTTTTTTAACATTTCAAAAGGTTATTCTCACTAATCATATCTAAATCTAATATACCAATAGAATTATGATCCCTGTATTGTGGAATGATAAAAAAATATTGTGTTTTAAAGTTACCGATTTCTTTTGATTTAATTATACAGGAATATCTTACTACATATAAATTAAATAATTTAAAATTTTAATTTTTATAACTTTTAAAATTTTTGTTTAAAGTCCTATAATATCTTACTACATATAAGTTAAATAATTATATCTTACTACAGGAATATCTTTCTAACTGCTATATTTGTCTACGTATTTATCACCATTTGAATATTTTCTTTTGTGTGTTCCACTTTGTCTAATTTGAAAAGAACTCTTTTATCTCTCTTCTTCTTCTTCTTCTTAATTAACTGACCTCTTGTCTTTTCAATCAAGGAGAATTTCGTTGATTTAGTAGGGTCTGATTATTTAACCTAGATGTCATTGAACTTTCAAAACTCAGTACTAAAACTTTTAGTTTTTATTAATGCATTCTTGATGAGAGTTACGTTTTTTAATTAGCTCTCGACTTCATTGATTTCTTTCATGATCTCAGTTTCATTTGCAACATCATTAATTATATTATATATCAATTATTTACTTTGGCATTTGGTCCTTTTGTGGTGGTGATGTTAACAATGTTTAACGAATATAAGATTTTTGAAGAATGATGACAGAATTGGAATCAAAAAGGATTTCTTATTGGCAACTTGATAACATACATCAAAACTAATCAACAGCAATAAGAAAGCATAACCAGCATTGCACATTACATGTTTGGATTCCTATATTTGTGCTTATTGTTGATGGTACGTGTAAAAGGTTTCAGTGAATAGTACCGTTTGGAGCCTGTTGAATGGTGTTTGGAGCAGGTTGAGTAGTGTTTGGAGTGGGTGCCTTTTTAGGAGCCATTCCAGGCTGGATTGATCTTACAAACTGGCATTCAGTATCGTTGGCATAGGAGTCGCAGTAGTTGTAAATCATGTGCTTCACTTGCACCCTGTGAAGATCTATTTTTTCTTGGTCAGTAAATCCTATTTTCTCGCCTGCATAAGGCGTTATTTTGAGATTCCTGTAGTAGGCAGTGAAAGGAGCCTTTGTCCAATCGGTCTTCTCCAACCCTTTTTTTGTAGCCCATTGGTCAGCATTCCAGAGACTGGCATAAAGCCTCATGGCTTGTTTTGTTGGGAATGGAACTCCCAGTCTTTCCAGGTTCTCGTGCACCCTTATAAGCTTTCCATCCACCGTGCACCTACACTTATTTTCAATATTAATTATTAGAAACGAAACGAATATGTTTTCATTACAGACAATTTGGTATCATATAATTAATGAGAGTTGTTTACAAGATCTGTTCAGGATTCCAAACGATAGAGTAATTGTGGAAGTCCTTTGTGCGATCAAACCAGAGATTGAAACCTTGTTCTCTCCTGCCTTGTCACTGTGCATACACATTGGTATGCATTGTATATGGATCCCCACTTGTGTTGCCCAAGAACTCAATATCAATCTCATCGTGAGTTGGTCCTTCTGGTGAAGTTAGCTGCATAAAAACTTAATTAAGTCAGCCATTAATATAATATATAAAACTTTGATCAAGGTTGAAACTTACATAGAATGTGGTTACGGTGCCAGCTGAATTGTCAGGCACTAGTTTCATTTCCGCTTCAAATCTTGCAAAGATGAATCCATTCTTACTCCTAAAGCCAGAGCCAGAAGTTTTGTCCAGAGAGAGAAAGGGTTTGGCCTCCATCCAGTATCTTAGCACGACCATCGCCAAATGTAATGTCGACGTCGGCGTTAAAGTTACCCTCTGAGACTGCCATCAGACTACATATTACCAAGGGAATCAGCACCATTAATTTATGGTAGCCTCAGCGAAGTCGACGACATTTCTTTTGGTTTTATTTTGCTGATGATAAAAACTCAACTTCATTCAAATTCTTTGTGTAACCATAACTGAGAATCCTTTATATATTGGTATATGTTTTAATTTTTCCAAGTAGGGAGTACACTCAAATTAGTTATTGAATATGTCAAATACAAAATAGCCTCAGAAATGAGAGAGATAGATGCAGTTCCAAATTGATTTGTATGGCAGATTTTGGCAGAGGTATTTCAAGAAAGAGGGATTAAGATGCACGGGGTCAGATTATTGGTTGTTCCTATGGTATTGGATATCCAAGACAAAGTACAAGAAATCCTCTAGTATGAGACACGGCTTATTTGTTTATTAACATTGACCCTGCCAAATTAGTATGATAAAAAATTGAAGTTGTCAAGGCTTAAAAGCAGTTTTTGAGTGTATGTGTTTTCTCATTAATAAATCCCAATATTAGTAATTGATATAGACATTAGACAATATATAACTGCATATTTATTAAGAGACATATACATACAAAATATTAAATATTATATCCAATTTTAAGAGTTACCTTATAATTTAATGACCATATCTTATGAATATTTTTGTCTTGAGAGTTAACTTTACAGATTGAATCATAAACAAAAAGCTTATATATATATATATAACTCCTCTTGGTTGATCGACACATGACACATTGTGGAAGCTCTAAAATTATTTCATTTTGACACATAGGATTTGTGGTTGTCATGTGATTGAATTTTATTGGTGATGATGTTGACAGATATTAATTGTTGTATTGGTATTCCAAATTCAAAGTAAAAACATATCTATTTGAGTGACACATAGGACACTTTTTTTTTTTTTTTTTTTTGGAGCTCTAAAATTGCTTTATTTTTAAAGCTCTAGAATTGCTCACTCTTGCCACGTTAGATGTGTGGTTTAATGAAATATTAATGCACTGCATTGATATTCCAACTGTTCATATCAACCCAAACTTTTCTTGATTAGGTTTAATGAGATATTAATGCACTGCATTAGTATTCCAAAGGCTCATATCATCTTGATTACATTACGTGGCACATTATCCAAACTTTTCTTGATTAGGTTTAATGAGATATTAATGTACTGCATTGGTATTCTAAAGGTTCATATCATCTAGGATTGCTATTAATAATTATATAGATGCATTGTATTGACATTGCAAACATTTTTTCGTATGCAGATCGTATTTAATTGTGTTGACATTCAAAAGGTTTAAACAAGGGATTATAAAATGGGCATATGTTCAGTTGTGTATTATCGCAATATGTTAGTTGGTGTCAACAATGCATCTGGTCTTTTGTTAATTGTTTATATGTTATGTTAGTTTGTGTCAATAATATGTATGTTCTTCATGATTTTGTTAATCGATGATTTATTTATTTATTTATGTTTTTGTTGTTTACAGGTCAAAAATTCATGAATTGGCATGAAATAAAGGCAGGATGTCCAATTGACATTGTCAAATGAGTTGTTATTTTGATTCGTTATTCTAAACTGTATGTATATCTTCTAACTATTTTAATATGAAACTGTAAGTATATCTCCTAACTATTTTAACGGTTATTATTTGATTGAATGATTGTTTTTATTCGGTCAATCTATTTAAATGATTAATTGTGTTAGTCTTGTCAAACGGTAAGTATATTCCTTAACAAATTTAATATGAATATTAATTAACTTTTGTTGATTTTGTTTTCAGGTAACAATTATTATACGAATGAATGATTGTCCCTTAACAATCTTAACATGAAGATTGATTAAATTTTGTTATGTTTGTTTTCAAGAAAATGTTTATGTACTTTACTAAGATCAAATCGAAGATGATCCTATTGTCAGCCGAACTGTGAGTATGTGTCATATCTATATTAATAGAAACAGTTCTTTTGTGTTAAATATGTTTTATGTAAAAACATTCATGTATTTTAATTTGTAATATGAATGATTAATTGTTTATGTCTTACTGATGTGCGAGTATATATGTTAAATGAATTGATTTTGGCTGATTCCATTTTCCAATTAATAGCTGTTATTTGAAATATTTTTTATAAATCATAATATGATAATCCCTTAAATTTAGGTTAAGTAAACCATTCATTTTATCATCACATGCATTTCAATTTCCGCTGAACAATCAGTAGTGAATTGATCATAACATGCTCAATAAAAATCCAATTGATGAGAGAATTGAATATTTAGAAACTAAACAGACAATGCTTTAATTTGATATATATACGCTTAATTTGGATAACTGTAGCCCTATTGCCGAACCATTCATTTTATCATCACACATATTTCGGCTTCCACTAGACAATCAGTAGTAAATTAACCATAACTTGCTCAATAAAAATTCAATTGATGAGAGGTTTGAATCTTTAGAAACCAGACAAACATGGCTTTAAATTTCTATGTTATACGTTTAATTTGGATAATTGTAGCCCCACTTCCAAACCATTCCTTTTATCATCACACACATTTTGTTTCCCCTGTTTCTTAATTTCCATTAAACATTCAGTAGTAAATTAGCTATAGGTTGCTCAATAAAAATATAATTGATGAGCGGTTTGAATCTTTGAAAACTAGACAGATATAACTTTAATTTTTTTATATTATACGCTTAATTTGGATAACGGTAGCCCCACTGCCAAACCATTCCTTTTATCATCACACACATTTCGGTTTCCACTGAACAGTCACTAGCAAATTGACCATAACTTGCTCAATAAAACTCTAATTAATGAGAGGTTTGAATCTTTAGAAACTATATAGATAGGGATTTAATTTGATCTATTATACGCTTAATTTGGATAATTGTATCCCCGCCATCGAACCGTGCCTTTTATCATCACACATTTCGGTTTCCATTGAACAGTCAGTAGTAAATTGACCACAACTTGCTTAATAAAACTCCAATTGATGAGAGGTTTGAATCTTTAGAAACAAAACAGATAAAGCTATAATTTGATATATTATATGCTTAATTTGGATAAATTTACCCCCACTTCCGAACCATTCCTTTTATCATCACACATATTTCGGTTTCCCTCATTTCTCGATTTCTGCTGAACAGTTAGTAATAAATTAGTCATAACTTACTAAAAAAAAAAAAAAAAATCTAATTAATGAGCGGTTTGAATATTTGGAAACTAGAAAGATAGAGCTTTAATTTGATATATTATATGATGAATTTAGATAACTATAGACATGTTGTCAAACCATTCATTTTATCATCACACACAAAAAAATCAATTCAATTTTAGTGATGACAAAGGAAAATAAGTATTGATACGTAGTTTAATTGTATTTATTCTATCTCTTTTCGTTGATATTTTTTTAAGTTACATACATATATCAAAAACAGGTTTTGCTGAATATAACAAATTTTATTTGTATCACAAATATCATCTGATGTTCGTAACCATGTAGCTTTAGTAAACCATTTATAATATGTTAAACCATCATTATTATCCTTAAAGGAAAACAAATACTAATATTTAGTTTTAATTGTAATTGTTCTATCTCTTTTTGTCGATATCTTTTTATGTTACATACATATATCATGAAAAGAGTTTATTGTTGAATATAACTAATTTCATTTATTTAACAAATATCAACTAATGTTTGATGCTAAATCATGTAGCTTTAGCAAACCATTCATTTTATCATCATACACATTTAGGTTTTTACTAAACAATCAGTAATAAATTAATTATAACTTACTCAAGAAAACTCCAATTGATAAGAGGATTGAATCTTTAGAAACTAGTTAGACAGAGCTTTAATTTGATATATTATACGCTTAATTTGAATAACTGTAGCCCCACTTTCGAACCATTCCATTTGTCATCACATACATTTCGGTTTCCACTGAACAATTAGTAGTAAATTGACTATAACTTTCTCAATAAAAATCCAATTGATGAGAGGTTTGAATCTTTAGAAACTAGATAGACATGACTTTAATTTGATATATTATATACTTAATTTAGATAATTGTAGCCATATTTCTGAATCATTCCTTTTATCATCATACATATTTTGGTTTCTACTTAACAATCAATAGTAAATTAACCATAACTTGCTCAGTAAAAATCCAATTGATAAGATGTTTGAATATTTAGAAACTAGACAAACAGGGCTTTAATTTGATATTATACGCTTAATTTGGATAACTGTAGCCCCACTGTCGAACCATCCCTTTCATCATCACACATATTTCAATTTTCCATGTTTCTCGATTTCCACTGAACAATCAGTGGTAAATTAGTCATAACTTGCTCAATAAAAATCTAATTGATAAGCAGTTTGAATTTTTGAAAACTAGAAAGATAGGGTTTTAATTTGATATATATATATATATACGATGAATTTGAATAACTATAGACATACTGCCAAACCATTAAATTTATCATCACACACATAAAACAAACTCAATTTTAGTGATGACAAAGAAAAACAAATTTTGATATGTAGTTTTAATTATATTCGTTCTATCTCCTTTTGTTGATTTTATGATTGATTTTGTTATTTGATTTGTAGGTTTTGTAGGTTTTACAATTTTCGTTTTTCTTTAGGATGCTATCATTAAATGTTTTTTTGCTATATGTGGTGGTCAATTCTAATAGCAGCAAATGGATTTGTGTCATAGAACTTTTATCTTCATGGCTTCTTCAATGTTTCAATTAAGTTGCCTTCAGATTATACTGTTGGAGTTATTGTTGCTTTCTATGTGACTTTTCTTCTCAACATTCTTAATTTTTTTTTTTTCTAAAATAATAATAATAAAAATAATTCATTTTCTCTTCTCAATAATCAAACTCAGTTTTTCCCTTTGACTATGCAAGTCTCTTGCTTAAAAGTTTACATTTTTCAATAAGGTTTCTCTTTCTTGATTGATTTATAGACTTATGAATAATAACAAGTGGGTTATCCTGCAAATTTTTTTTGCCTTTCTTGACAAAGTTTTAAACTTTGATTGCAGATGTCAAATGATGACATATTTGAGAAGAATCGTGATGATATAGACTTTGAGTTAAATTTGTGGATATTTTATTTATTAATTATTAATTTAATATAAAATGAACTTCAATATAAAAAATATATATTTAAAACACAAAAAAAAACTAATAATAATGTAAAAAAATATAATAAACATACCTGCGCAACCGGCTTTTCATCTAGTTGTTGTATTAAGGAGAAATCTAACCATAACTTCTTTTTAATACATATTTTTGACCAGTTCTTGACTTGTTAAATTTTACAAATTTCAAATTCAAGTCTCCAGATTTCAAATACTTGCAACAGTAGAGTATCCAACTTGAAGATGACAAATTTGATAAGTATTAAGTCGTATTGCTTGAAGATTGTAGAGAGAATAAGAGGGAGAAGTTTTATTTTATGTTATTTTTTAAAAGTATAAGATTGAATACAGAGTTCTTTAATATTTGCCCTATGACTTGGTTATTAAAAAACAGCAAAAGAGAACATTTAAAGAAATGCAATCCACCTCTGTTGCTCCTCCTCCCTTGTCCAGGTACTGGTATCCCATACCCAACCATTTGCTAAACTTTGATCATCATCATCGTAAAGTCAAAAGAAGAAAACCCACTTCTCTTTCATTTCCCAATACCCAAATCCACTCTCAAAACATCGATTCTTTAACTCTCCCCACCACAAGTAATTGCAGCAAAGAACACCAAAAGAAACTCAACCCAGAGCAGATCCCTATATTATTTGATCAACTCTACTCTTCCACTGAAACTAACCAAAACCCAGAACCTCAAAACCAAGAACAAGAAGAGGATAAAGACGAAAACTGCCCTGTACTTTTCACAAACATGTGGTGGGCAGACTTGAAAGCAGCTTTGGGCCAAAGAATCAACGTCGAGGGTATTGTTTCTTCAACAGTTGTTTTCGTTAAAGATCGTCACTTGGCGCTTCCTCACGTTTCTGTGCCTGATATAAGGTACATTGATTGGGCGGAGCTGCATGGGAGGGGTTTTAAAGGTGTTGTGTTTGATAAAGATAATACAATTACAGCTCCTTACTCTTTGACGCTTTGGGGTCCTCTTAGTTCATCAATAGAACGGTGTAAGTCGGTGTTTGGTCAAGATATTGCGGTGTTCAGTAACTCTGCTGGTAATTGTTTGGCTTTGATAAATTTGCTATTTGCTGTTGTACTTTCTTTTGTCTCTTCTTTTTATAATTTCTATTTTGGTTTTGATGTATTAGGTCTATATGAGTATGACCATGATGGTTCAAAAGCGAAGAAACTTGAGGGAAAAATTGGGATTAAAGTTATAAGGCACAGTAAGTATTATTATTATTATTTTTTTTTTTTTTTTAATTCTTAGTTTAAGCTGTAAGTTTATTACCAAATTATTGTCGGATGTTTGATAGCTTCTAACTTGATGTTATAGTTATTTGCCTAGCAAGTTTAATAGCTTCTAACTTGATGTTAGAATTATTTGTGTTGCATGTTTAATAACTTCTAACTTGGTTTTAGAGTTATTGTATACTGAATGTGGTTAGTCAGTTTTGTTCAACTTTATCCAGTTCATTCTAGTTTATGGCAAAAAAAGGTCGTTAGTTTATCAAGTATTGATGTGAAGAACAATATGTTATTTTTTTAGGGGTGAAGAAACCAGCTGGGACTGCTGAAGAGATTGAGAAACACTTTGGCTGTAGATCTTCTCAACTTATCATGGTAAAAATACGTAGAATTAGTATAATACTTCCCATTATTATTTTTTTTCGTTTTTGTCTTTTAAACTTCAATTATGATTAGCATAATATTGTTTTTGGCAGGTGGGTGATCGGCCTTTCACAGATATTGTTTATGGGAATCGGAATGGGTTTCTGACTATATTGACTGAACCATTAAGTCTTGCCGAGGAGCCATTCATTGTTAGACAGGTTGGTTTTGATTTCTTGTCAACTCCCCTTAAATACACTGGACAAGTAGTAATGATTCCAAAATAGGTCAATAATAAGAGGTTATGCATCAAATGTGCAAATTGCTGGGTCCTTGGCTCTATTCTCTTGCGAGATCATATCTTCTGTAAACAATCTCCATCAGATCCTTCAATTTTAATTTCTATGCCCTTTTGCTATGAGTTTTTAAAATTTAGTAATGAATCCAAAATAGGTCGATGATTAGAGATTATGCTCTCTTGCTCTTGCTCTGGCCAAAATCTGTCAATTATAGGTGTTATTGAGATTGTCTTCTGTAGTCTCAACTTTCTGTTAGCTGGTGCTATCACCCAAGTCATTGCAATTAGCTTTGCATTTTCCTTTTCTTTTTAGAGAAACACTTTTTATTCCATTCTACATATTTTATCCATCACCTGTTCTTATGCTGTCATTGTGCTGTGTAGCAAATCCTCATTGTTCCTTGTGATCCTTGATCATTAGTTCTTCTTTTGCTTTTCTATTTTTAATTGTTTCCAACATTTTCCTTGTTTTTCAAAGAACTGTTGGTGTATTCTATGTTGCTATGTGTGTGTAAGACATACTTTTGGCTAGAAGATATTACAGGACAATCAGTAATGGTAGTTTTTTTTAATTTAAAAATGTAGACAAACACTATTGATGGCATTTATTCATGCTCTTTTGCAAGAAAGTGAGGTTTAAGAGTGGCATTCCATGAAGAAGATACATGTGGGTGGAAGTTTAATCATCTTGCAGGTTCACCTAGGAGTTGATAGTGTAGGAGAGACATTCTGAACCGAAATTGATTTCCACTGCAAATTTCTAAAGCAAAGCAGGGTAACATAATAAACAAAAGGGAGAAAAGTTGTGTGATAAAATTAGGGTAACATGCAATGCAGTTATAATGAGCTAAGCAAGTTCTCTTTGAAGTATTTTGGAAAGTGAAATGGACCGACTAAGTGTTGATATGGCATTTTCTAGTAATTTTGATGGCAAACAAGTGCATTTTTTTTGTGAAGATAGTCATCAAACCACACAAAGAATCAGCAAAATCTGAGTGAACACAGTGTGCTGTTGCCTAAGAGTTGCTCCTGTATGAGTCTGTGCTTTGCTTTGTTGGCAGTTTAGGCATAGATTTTGTTACTTCTTCTGAATATTTTGATTGATGATAATGAAAAATGAATGTTTCAGGTGAGGAAACTGGAAGTGTCACTAGTGAAACGCTGGTTTAGGAGAGGGTTGAAGCCAATTAGTCACAGTCTACTGCCAGATGCCATGCAGTGGATGAAAGATCCACCACCTTCATAAGAAATTTGTAGATATGCTTGCCTGACTAAGGAACAAATGCAACTATTAGTCAGAACCTGTATTTATGGCCGTCAGTTTGCATTTCTCGTTGCTGGACCTTATGGAATTGTCATTCTTCAAATCATTCATATGCCTGCTTACTGTCTGGTAATTTCTGTCTTTTTTGTTCGATTCTGTGGAGTGTGGAGAAAACAGAAGCTGAGGACTGCCTTTGATCAACTAAGCTGAGCATCTTTCCTGGCTGGTTGTCACTCTGCCTCATTAGGGTTGAATCAAGAAGAAAATTGATGATGGAAATAGACAGGAAACTGGAGATGGCATTGCACTCAGGCAATGATTAATTGCGCAATAATTACTTAGTAGAATGAAAGTTTTCCTTCTTCAGTAATAACATCCAATTTTGCTTATAGCTCGAATTTGTTGCTCCCCAGTATAAGCTATTCCGATATCAATTGTTGATTGTGCTATAATTTCGGTGGGTATAGTCAGAAATCTGCAATTATAGGGGCCATTTCCGGGTCAAATGGTCAAAGTCTTGGACTAATAAGTGCAAGCACTTGGCTTTAACTTGATGACTGACAGGTTTATATTAAAGCGAGGAAATGAACTCAGTAGTAAGGGTATTAGAGATTTATTTGTTTGCATACTGAGAAATGAAGTAAAATGTTGAAGAATCAAAAGGAAATGGGTTGCCAAATGTTAAGGTCTGACTTAATTAATTGATTTTATTTGATTTTATTTGAATTTTCCAAGTTGCAATTTATTAATTGTTTGCTGCCAATGCGGGTTGCGACTTGCGAATTGTAGCAATTTGTGAAAGCTTTAATAAATTTGATTAAATCGAAGTGGATAGCATTCATTACAAGGTAGAATTAGAATGTGTAGATACAGCTAATATTTTTAGCTACTTGATTACAACGTAGGAGAAATTTTGATAGGCATCCCGTAGGAAGGGAAGGGGAGGGGATCCATAGTGATTGGCTCATTGGGATCTAGTAAAGAACAATTATAACGAGTTACAACATAATGAACAAAGATGAGAATGTTGAGCTTGGCAAGTTGGTATCCTGCACACACTCTTGGTCCTCCTCCGAAAGGAAGAAATACATATGGTGGGAAGGCTTCCTCGAACCTACTGGGGTTGAAACTAAGAGGATCTTCGAAATACTCTGCATTGTAATGTGTTCCATATGTTGTCCATAGCACCTGCAAATACTCACACAATTTAACCCACGTTAAAGCCTTCGCATTGACATTTCAATCATTTTTGTTGTTAATTTGTGCGTTATTCTTTAGTGATCTTGCAGTGCAACTTGCTGATATCTAGCTAGATTTATTTCTCATAAATATTAATATTAAAATTTGATGCTATGCTCACGTATTTGCATGTATTCACATGCTGGTATTTATTAAGGATGGAGAAGTTTATTTATGTATATATATATATATATGTGCACCTTCCATCCTTTGGGTATAGTATATCCTTCATATTCAATGTCGGCAACTGCTTTCCTGAAAGAGCCAAAGATGGGAGGGTATAGGCGCATGCTTTCACGGGCAACTTGCCAGGTATACTTCATCTTCTTTATGTCTTCCAACGTTAGAATCTCACCAGGCCTTTTATTGCGTATTATATCAGCATGCTCTGCCGGAAAATAAGGTACTTTCATATGAGTAATCTTAGGGGAAGAATCAAATAAAATATGAGTGCTTCCATTTATACAATATAAGCTTATTATATCCTATTAAAACTCAAGTATTTTGCTATTCATGAATACTAAAATAGTGAGATCTAGAATATGTACCTTGAAGAAGGAAAGAATAGCAATTTGAATACTGAGCCAGCATTTTGAATGTCATGGCAATAGAAAAAGAAGTGGTATCATGTGCTGCAAAGACAAGCAAAACCACGTTATCAATGACCTCGTGTTCTGTAATATCCCCTCGAATCATTGCAGCCACCAATTGTGACAATAACATTCCTTCTTCTTCTCCACCTCCTTCCATATTCCTGTTGCTTTCCATTTCATTTCTCTTCTCTCTCACTACATTCACCAGCATCTTTTCTATCTCCTGCCTTGCTTTCTTAGCCCTCCAGAATCTTGACCCGGGAAAGTTAATTGTTGGGGCAAAAACACCTTCCAATACTCTCTCGAAAGTTGTCAACAAACCAGCCTTTACATTGATCCCTAACAAACACTCAAAGACTATAGTAAATGTCAGTATTTTTGTCGAACGATAAAGGCTAAGCGTATCTTGGCCTCGCCAATATGTATCTAAGTGCAGCTGAACTGAGCTGCAAATTTTGGGAACTATAGACTCTAGCCCAGCATGGCTAAGGGCAGTGGCTATTATTCCCCGAAGGCACCGATGTTGCTCTCCTTGTTTTGCCATAATGCAGTCTTTGCCCATTAGCTGAACCGATGAAGAAGGCCATGAGCTTATCACCAGCCTGAACTCATTCGATAAGAAAAACCGATTGGCTTCTGCTCCATTTACTATAACTGTTTGAGAACCTAGAAGCCTTGTCTTGAAAATCTTCCCATGTTTTGTTATCCGAGGTTGAACAAAATCCTCAAATAATCGATTGTTACGCTGAGCTTTGAAGAACTCAATTGTTTCACCAATCCAAGGAAGTCCCACATCTCCCGGTGGGAGTTTCTTCCTGTTTTTGATAGAATTCTTCTTGTGTTTCAACAATATGATGAGGGCCAAGACCACGGCAGCTAAGAGAGAAAACATCCAGTTAGAAAGAAGAAAGCTAATGTGAAGAGCCATTGATGAAAGTGATGAGATATGATAAAAGATTGAGTGAGAGGGTGGAATTTATAGTTTTAGTGTGTCGTAATCAGGTGAACTATTGTTGATTTTTATTCATGCAATTCTTAGTGATGAGGGAATGCGCCCGCAGGAATAGCATTAAAAATGTCAAACGGGTTGATTTTTTAAAAGGTCAACGAAGCTTGTTACATATCCATCCCACTAATTCTAATATTTTTGTAGCCAAGTTGTTGACTTTGGAGGGAAAATTAACATCATCAAAACAGTGAGTATAAACATTGCATGTGCAACACCAAGATAACACGCTCACCGCCCTTGGAGAATAACACGTAATCATCATAATATATCTGAAAGATAAATGGAATCTGAAGCTGTCCACCAGCATTGTCCATGGAGTTTTAAACACAGAATATCCCTAAAAATCTGCAAAGTCCAACACTCTCTAGAGAGTTTATCTCTTCATGAGGAAGTCAAAATGGAAGCAGTTTCACCTCCAATGACAGCTTACAAGTTTACAACAAGAAGATAAGGAGAGAGACATAATCAATCTTGGAACTCCAGCCCTTGATCTAAAATTGTGAAAAATGATATGCCGCACTGGCCAAATCTTGTGGCTTACCTCCCACCTTTCACATCCAGTAAAGGGCCACACCATAATCCCAACCAGACTATATAGGATTTATCACCCTCATTAATTATTTCGCTTTTCTAAATTTAAACCAGATCTTCGTATAACTGAGATTAAATCTTAAGTATTTTATTTACAAAAGATTTGATTGAAGTGATCGGTATTAACTTAAATTAGTGTTGAGTTCACAGGAAGAATGAAATATCTTCTTTATATTAATTAACTTTTGTGTTTAAGGTCATTATTAATTGTAAAATACTCTATCCTAAGATGATACATACTTACGCGTACGCATGGTAAGAATTTTCAAAGGTCATGAAACCTGTTGGTAGAAGTAGAACTTACTAAACTTCAAAGATACATGAACGTATACATTGTCTTCACCAAGTAGATATTTCTGTCTTAAAATTATCATTCCAACTTTACCAATATATTGAGTTGGCCGGTCACACTTTGATTTGTTTTGTGTCATTGAAGAGTTGTGAATTCTTAACTAATTGTTTAAACAAAAGTCTTTCCGTATCCATCGTCATATAATAATACTCATCATTTTCTTCACTCTAAATGTTCAATTGGCAACCTTTCTCTCTGGATATTTGTATATTTTGTTAACTCTTTTATGTATATACAGTTTACTCATTTGTAGTCCATTAAAACCAAACTAATAATAATAATCCTTTTACAGATTTAGGTAAATAGTTCTTGATCTGAATTAATTTTTTAAAAATTCAGACATTGCCAAAATGAGGACTGAATGTGGCATGAAATAGGAGAATAGTTGTGGTGCTGCAATTGATATATACGATGGGCCTCTTTCTACTTTGATATAATTTCTTGATCCATTCTTCATAAATGAAGGGACTGGATTGATGGGTGTGTGTGTCGGCACGCGTGGATTGTAGTCCATCAAAGTATGATGCTAATTAGAGGTTTCCCACAGAGAAGATCGACTATAACTAGTAGCCGATAGTGATAGCTGTCAGGCACCAAAATGAGCCAACTTTTCAAAATCTAATTTAAGAGCTTCAACATGTTGAGAGAACTCTACGGCCTTTTTTGCATGTTGAACTTGAATTCATGTTGATGTGTCACTCTCCAACCTTGGCCCAACATCCAAATATATGACTAACTACACTTGCACAAAATTTTCTATATTTCACCATTGATTAAACCTTATATTTTACCCATTCTATTCCAATCCAACCTTTTTTTTTTTTTTTCTCTTTTATGACTGGAAGTGTCCGAACTAGCTTACGCGCATCTTAATTAATCTCTTGAGATTTTGAAATTATCGATCGAGTAAGAACTCCGATAATTATCTCTATTTGTAACTGAAGAGGAACTCGAGCTCAGAACCTTTTGAGTAATACACCTAAAAGTTATTATCTAACCACTCGATCACCCAAAAATAGTTATTCCAATCCAACTTTATTTTACCGTTACTAATTAATTAACCAAAAACCTTTTTACTTTACCTTTAAATTTTAATAGTTAATGTAGCCATTATGTAACTTAATTATATGTATATCAGCTAAATTTGAATATTTTTCCACACTTTTTATCCAAGCTACATGCACTAAATCTTTAACCTAAACCAGTTGCAACATTGTTGGAACAACTAAAAGTTGAGAGTTGTATATAAATGTAAATATTGTCAGATTTCTTATAACTTTTTTAATCACGAGTCCTGAAAATTAACTGCGGCAATAATGAACCATTTACAAGGGAAGTTTCACAATCTGAGCAAACAAATAATGAGGGTTGCCTCGTTGGATGGCCTTACATATTTACTGTTGTGACAACTCAGAACGGCCAGGACAGAGCCAAGCTGTAACTAGCTTTTATCAGTCAAGGCCAAAAAGATGAATTAAATAAATAAACAGAAAATACAGCCAATATTATTAATAACTGTGAATCTGAATGGAAATGGAAATTGACTATCTCTTTGATATTTATGTTAAAATTGTGGTCAAAGGGAGGTTTGACAGAATTTCAACTACAGACACTAGATGTGTAACCACCTTCGCTGCCGTATTTAGTATTCTACTTATACCTGTTGCGCAACTCACCTACTCCCTGTACTGTAATTAAGTATTGTGGACCCTTTCTCTTTACTCCCACCATCCTCTTGCATGTGTATTCTTAAATATTGTTCCTGCTCATTCTACCATTATTACTACTCACTATATATAACTTCCAACTTTTCTTATATGTTATAGTTCCTTATGTAATACGTCGATAATTTGAAAACTTACAGCCATTTGTCCAAGAATTTAGGCCCCCAACAAGATTCTGATATACGGATCATAAATCTGGAACCGGGAAATGATCGGCATTGAATCCCCGTGATCCATCACAAATTGGAGCAGGTGGTTCCACTGTATCACGGGCTTTTGATGTTAGTTTCCTCTCAGGGATTAAAGAAGTTAAAAACTAGATCTTATTTCTTTGAATAATTTTAGACAATAGGTAGATAAATATATAAAATGAGTGGGCGAGTACATACAAATAAATGAATTATAAATAATGCAATATTAAAAAACTAATTTTATTTAGTTTGTATTTCTTAACAATTCCTTATTTAAATTCGTTTCCTATCTTGGGCATATTAACTTATTAAATTGTGTAGTAGATATAAATCCAGGTTGGTTGAATGGGGAGTTGGTTGCCTCTAGGGTTGGACCATCTAGTAGATACGTGTCCATTGGGTTAATTTTTCCTTTTCTACAGTCCTTAATATGTTAATGTCGCATTTATTCCTCAGAATCTAGCAGCTGGCGTGGGACAGCAAAACTTTGTAAGGTATCCCAAAATTAAGCCCACAAAAAAAAGAAGCTGATAATTGTAAGACATGAATATATATACTGTTGTATATATGATTCGATGTTAAGTACTATTTTATGTCCTTTGAAGAATTTCTTATATTCGATGTTACGTAGTCATGATCCAGTGAAATAGTATAATTTTGGTTCTCTGGTTCTTTTTGTAATTGGCGGCCCCTTTGATGCTTTATTAGAGGACGTACTTTCTTTATTTTACTCCTTAATTACTTGAGTGCGTACAAATCAAGTTTATGACAGGGAGTTGATATATAATTATATATACATAAGAAAGGGAAAACTAAATAAATAGAATCAATCCAACCATACAATTTAAATAAATTTGATTTGTGCTCAAATAGACTTCAAATTTTGAGAGGATCCAAATCAAACATCAACGGTTCAAACTCATAATGTTTACTTTTTGAAAAATTTTACACCTGCAATCTCTTCTTACAAACTTTGTCTCATAACCCCGATGTAACAACTCACAATTAGTCAGCTTATAATGGGTTCTACCTAATAAATTGCATCTGATCAATTACAAACTAACATATCTGGGTTATGAAAAAAAGTTTGTGAGAAGAGGTTATAAGTGTAACATTATTATTACTTTTTTTGTGTTGTTGTTATTGTTTGGGGGGTGGGGGGTTTTCAAAAATAAGTATATGGTTGAATCAGATGGCAAACATTTGGATTACTTCAAATTTATTTCTCTTACAGCCCTGAGCAAATCCTGACTGAATTCCACAGCTTTTTAGGTATCAGCCTGCGCAAGTTGGCAATGTATTCGACCACAATGTCACTCAAACTATTACCAAGTAATTAAATCTAATCTAGAATCGAAAAAAGTGCGAATTGCAAATTGGGCAGGAATATAAACACTATGACTCCACATAAACCATGCATCTATGAAAATTGCATTTCATAATTTTTCAAACGTACAAAATGAGCCGATGATTGACAAGCATGCTCTTTCATTTGATTTTATTTTCTGAGGTATATCAGCAGACTATCTATCAACTAGCATTATTGCACAAAGCAAATGTTATTAATGGTTCATATAAATGCTCCTGCAAAATATCAACTAACCTCACACTTCTCAACCTGCTAATATTTACTTCACCCTGTCTAAGTCTTTATATTCACTCACTCTCTCTCTCAACCACACACACCATCCATTTCCTCGCTTCATTCTTCTTCTTTGTTTGTAGTATCATCCATGGCGAAGGAAAGAAATGCTTCTTTTTTCTTGTGGATAATGGCTACTGGGTTGCTCTTCCAGGGCCTGGTGCTTCCTGCTATGTCCATTCGCTTTGAAGATCAAAAGAACTACTACTCTCCAGACCCACATACTGGAACTCCCCCTTCAGGTCTCTCTACCTCACACACTCATACCACTTTTTTTGCGCTTCATTTATGCATTGTGGAAAACTTCTCGAGGTTGCATTTTACATGGTTTGATATAACTACAAAATGTTTTTAGTAGGATAACACTGACAGGCTTATAATACAGTGATTTTTTCATAAAGCATTTACAATGCAGCTAATTTTAATTTGTTGTAACTGCAGTCTCACACGGGAGTCCACCCCATGGAAGTACACCATCGCATGGTTCACCACCCTCTCACCATGGAACCCCAACCCCATCACATGGAGGAAGCTACAATCCACCACCATCTTCACCCTCACCACCTTCAAACTGTGGAAATCCACCACACAAACCCGTCACCCCATCAACCCCTTCAACTCCTTCAACCCCTTCAACCCCCTCAACACCATCAAACCCTCCTTCAGGATACTACCAATCTCCTCCACCTTCTGGTGGTGACAGTCCTCCTCCTGTCATTGTTAGCCCACCATATGATCCAGGCACCCCTAGTATTCCCTCACCTCCGTTCTCACCCATCCCCGGCACATGCACGTAAGTCAATATTTTTAAATCGCTTAAAATTAACATGCACTTTTTTTATCACCAACTAAACTATATAATCTCATGCATGCATATGTTTATTTACAGTTACTGGAGTAATCACCCGAGTTTGATATGGGGTGTGCTGGGCTGGTGGGGTTCATTGGGCAACGCATTCGGAGTGACTAGCGTTCCTGGTTTCAGCGGAAACATGAGCTTGCAGCAAGCACTTTCCAACACACGTAGTGATGGGTATGGAGCACTTTACCGAGAAGGGACTGCATCATGGCTCAACTCCTTGGTGAATCACAGGTTCCCTTTAACAAACGACCAAGTCAGGCAGAGCTTCGTGTCAGCACTTCACTCAGACAAGACTGCAGCAGCTCAAGCTCGGCTCTTTAAGTCGGCAAATGAGGGTCATCTCAAGCCCAGAGCTTGAAAAATAACTTCATTATTTGGCATGTTTTTTCAAATTTCAGTTTGTGGAAGCATTATATATCTAGGGCGTGTGCTACTTTATTAAGAATTTTAAGTGTTTCTAGTATCTTACCATTATCCGTCATGTTACAGTATTTTAATTAATAGATACTACGTTGTTTAAATGTTTAGTTTATGCTACCTAGTTTCGAAAAATATTCTTCGTTTAGATTATTCCCATATCGTCATTTCAAGTACTATATTTTTTCTTAATTTTTTTAACAAGAGAAACCTTACTTATCGTTCAAATATTTCAAATATGTTCAACTGGTAAGACTGCTGCTTAAGGGACGACTACCTTTTTTTATCATCAAACTTTGCCAAGATATTCCAGAATTAGTATGGACAACCATGTACTCAGAGCGATCCGTTGTGCTTGCGGTGTTGAAAGAAATAGCTTACTAAAAAGCACAAGCTCAGCTTTGTAATATAATGTTAATAATGGTTACATATCTTTAGCTGTTATTAAATAGCATGGCCAGGGTGATGCTGTCATTAATGAGTGCACGCTGCTTCGATGCAAACTACAGTAATGGTTTGTCTTAATCAATAAATGAGCATTCAATGACCATAACGCAAAGTAGTGGACTTATATTCAGACACCAACAGCAATAATTCATCACCGAATAATACTAGAATAAGCATTTGAATTCACATTTTATCAAGAAATGTCGACACTAACGAGGATATTATGGCATCCGAATAGGAAACATTATTCGAAATTATCTTATACTCAATGCTATGACAAACATAGAGCAGTGAATACAATAAAAGCCAATTGTTCATTTACGTACATACATTATGTGGTTATGAATCAGGTGCAAATGGCGAGTAATGCCAAACAGAACAGTAGATTAGTGATACGGTACCTCATAGCAGAACCAACGAAAATAACTCCGTAATTCCATAAAGATGAAAAAGATTTCAAGATGTGTGATGAGATTTTTTATTTTCTTTTTACAGACAGGCTAACATTTACCAACTTCTGGGACTTATCCGATACACTCTTCAGTCTTCAATTCAATATGTAGCTTCAATATTAATTAACCACAAGTGTTGATTTATCATCTGGTCTCACACGTGTTTCAAGGAACAGATTCCACAAATTCCGCACATCATTCCGAAATCAAGGTGTTCCATTGAAGAAACTAGGCAATCTTTTACTGCATACAGCCACAAAGCTCCAAGGCTGCGGAAGAAAAAGTGTTCATAAATCATAATGCAGCCCTGATCAGCTCATATGAGTTTCAAACCACTTAAAGATCTGCTCCGACTGCAGGCTAGTCATTTCATGGTATGCAAATGCAAGATTTAGTTCTTCCTGGACATGAAGAACCAATTTTTTATCTAGCACAATGGCCTTGCTTTCCCGGAGTGCTTCTTTCCAATGTGTTGCACGCCCATCATTCCTCATATATCCATTCTCATCAATAAAGCCCTTGTCCCGAAATAGCTCAAATAGTTTTCCAGAAACTGCCTGCTCAAGACCTGGAACTCTGTCAGCTAAGAAATTTCGAGACAGGGGAAACTCCATGCATTCAACCTCTGCAACATCAATGCCTTTATTCCTCAGCACTTCCATATACTCACCTATTTTACGTTGCCTATATGAATCCTTTGGCATATGCACAAAAAGTGTAGGTGGATAGTCCTCCGGGATATCCATTTGATCAAACATCCCTTCAGCAATCATAAGAGCAACACTACTAAACCTCAAATTAGTGGCTAGTGCAGAAACAAAGTACCCACCAGAAGAGGCCCCCAAAGCCACAAGTGGAAGTTTCTCAAACTTGTGTCTCTCAACCCACCATTGTATTATATCTTTAACAATTACCCTTTCTTCCCTCAATGTCCAGCATCTCCGTGAACTAGATATGGTAAGAACAGCAAATTTTCGAGTAAGTGCATGCAGGACAAGCAGCCTTTCCTCAGGCAAGCCAATGCACTTTGGGCACTTAGAAGACCTGTCCCAAAAGTTAACAGCCCTGCCATTGCACCCATGTGCCAGAAAGAGAACTGCCTTGGGTGAATCAGGTATTTGCCATATCATGTCTGTCCCATTCCTGAACTCTATAGTTGGGTCGAAATTTACTGCAGACTCAAAGCTATTCCATTTTTGCTTCAAAAGTCCAAATGATAAATCAGTAGGGTTTTTGTGATTGCTGGAATATAATAATATCAATGTCACAAAGATCAAGACCAAAGATGTGACAAAAACTGGCAACTGAGACTTTTGAGGTCCATGCCATGCCTTTGATCTACTTCCATGCTTCAACATTGCTGTGAATAGAGAACTAATTCCTTTCAATGGCGTTTTGAAGTAAAAAGAAAAAAAAAAATTAGAAGATAAATGTACTGTCAGAATTTCAACAAAAGTTGGCTTAAATAATACAGTGACATAACCCTGCATTTGAATGCAGAAACATTGTAGGTGAAAATATGAGAATTTATATTCAAACTTTTAATGCTGATTCCAAAGAAAACAAAAGCCTCCGTTCCACTGCATGAGGGTAAATTTCTCACAAACCAATAACACATAAGATTCACAATTTCAGGGTCTTAGTTTTTTCCAAGAATTCTCAGCAACTACATGGAGGTTCACAAGGAATACATTTCTTTTCCACTGAATTATTAATTTCATGCATGAGCATGAAATTTTTTTATTTATTGGGCCTTCTACAGGACCACTACAGTTGCACAATTTTGTAGTAGTTAAGAATATTACAAAAAATTTATTCACTAAAACAAATTATTCTACAGAGTTTATCAGGAGAGTAATGAAGAATGTCTACATAGCACCTTCATACCAACCAAGATTCCTCATATTTAAAAATTTACAAATTTAAGACTGTAATTTTCTTTTAAAATAATTAAGGTTGCTACTAATAAGTAATAATCACAATTATCAATTCAACACATCTACTAAGCTAAATTAGTTAAAGTAACTGAGATTAAAAAAATCAATGATATGAACTTCATTTTCGATTCAAACATGCACATCCCACTCTACAACAGGTAACAATAGAAAAAGAAAGAAGAAAGAAGAAATAGCAAACAAAGTCCAAGGTTAGCTGGAAGCAAGACAAGAGCGAAAAGCTGCCATTAACTAATTACTTTCCCTAGTCATCATCGACCTCTCATTGAATGATTCAATGAAAACTCCTAAGACTCAACATCAATCCTGAAACTAATTGCTTTTCCAATGTATTTTACTAATTTCGAGCAACATCTTCCCCATTGGAACCTAACAGACTCAAAACCTAATTGATCCTAATACAGAACGAAGAGGCTGTCCTAGGTTTATAAGTTGTTGACAGCTATATTAATCCGAAGAAAGAAAGTTCATTAACACACATTACGATTCTATAATAGAACTCCATTTAATATAATTGGTTCAAATATTAAGAATATATATGAAATAAAGCTCAAAACGAGGATTAGAAAATATAATAATAAGCAACATCGTTCAATTTAAGTTCAGTTCGACCACTGAGAATATGTAAAACTATTAGGAAACAAGCAAAATAACTCCACGACTCATAGTTTCTGTTTCTTTTCCATATAATTTTTCTGCGTTTCATCGGCAAACAAAAAGAAAACTATAACAACTCAAATGCTAGTAAGCCGTAGAATTTGAAAAGGAAAATATTGATATCTTACCTGAAAAAATTGGCTTGAGAATGGAAAACTTAAAAGCCTGTATCCAGTTGAAATGGTTTGGAGAACGGGGATTTGAAAAGCCTAGATCCGGTTCAATTAGGAAGGAGTTTTAAGGCTCCATTTTACAAAGCTTTGGCTTCGGCTTTCAGTTGCAAAACGATTTTACGTGACATGACGCGCCTTGCAGCGAATAGGCTAGTCTAGACTCTTGGTAACTCCTCTCAACGCAACAGGCAGACCTGGGCCTGGGCTTCAGCTTGGGCTTGGATTTGAACTTGAATTTTCAATTTCGGCTTTATCTGATTAAAAAGGAACCTGCCCTCTCTCGTAAGTCTCGTTTGTTAAATAATCATTTTGCTTATGTTGTAATGAACTAATTGTCCTCTAAATTTAGAATTACTATTACGAGTTACGACCTACCAATGAGAATGACATGATATTGTCAAATATTAATATGATAATATTATATATACATCAAAATGAGAAAAAGAAATGATTACACAGTGATAAATAAAAAAGTATAAGACTAGCAAATCCTAGCTCATTTTTTAAAGCTATGATTCAGTGAGCGTAAAATTCTTGCAAGTTTGCCGGTTATGACCAATTGCAGCACATTTCCCGCACTTTCGAATAGGCCGTTCTCCAGCTGGTATAACCTTTTGCTTCCGGCGCTTTTTGGTTGGTGGCTTTGTACATATGTGGACATTAGAAAATCTTCTTATCTCAAAATATTCTTCATCTTTTAGTTTAGTTGCACGAAGTCGCCACTTACAATTCTCATCTGCACATACAACTTCAAATCTATCTTTTGTAGATTTCTTCACTTTGAACTCAAAATTGTTCTTCACTGCTCCAAGTTTTAGCTTCTTTCGCAATTCCTTTTTATTTGCAAACATTTTCCCACATACTATATCTTCGTAAGAGTTGAGAGGGTCAACTACTGCAACTGAATTATCAGAGCGTCGAACATGTAACTTATCCCCATATTCTACATGAGGCACATCTTCACCTTGAGCATTTTGTGCAACAACCTCTAAATCGTCAGCTAATAATCCATCTCCACAGCCTAAGTCTGCTTGAGTTCCAAAACTGATGTGCATTGCATCGTCGTTGAATGCTATTGGATCTGGTTTCTCAACTTGAGTTCCTTCTTGTGTTGCAGGCACAACCACTGAAAGTTGGTTGCTTTCACTTCGAGAAGCAAATGGGTTTTCATTATCCAAGACAGGATAATATCCTTCTCTTTCTTGAAAATGTGATTCTCTACACTTGAGAGTAATGCACAATGGACTTCTTGCGTCTGTGGGTTGTGCAACATTTTCATGTATAAAGAATCTCACGTCATCATCGTCAACTATCTCCACGGGTATGGTAGGAATATTTGCTTTATATAAGGCCTTCATTATGATTCCATATTCATTTGGATCTACCTTGAATAGCTGGTACAATCTATCGACAAGCTCCCGGTAAGTAATTTTGTCAGAAATAATAATCCCTTTCATTTTACCACCATTGTAGACAAAATGACCACTGGAAGAACTAAACCATTCCCCATTGTACATGACTAACACTCTCACCTGAGACATTTTCCTGAAAACAAACATAATAGGAAAAAAGTAAGTACGAAAACAGTTACAAGATAAATAATAGAACAAAACAAAAAGTCATAATTAATTTATAAAAAGAAAAACAATTTACCAATTTAAACTAACTAAAGATAGGAAAATTAATTAAAAATACTCGTTACAAGTTTTTTACTTTTTATCTCTTTGTCTGTTTAACTAAAGAGAGATTCTACTAGAAACTTGTAATGTTAGTTCATCCAACCAACTTGAGGCCACTCAACACTGTGTTAGTTCCAGCAATTTACCCAAAAACATCTATATGATGATAAATATCACCATTCATCAGTATTAGATAAGAAAGTAATCAACTGCAACAAATAACAACAAACACAAGCTTGGCTAGTTGCTAGGTTCTACAAATCGAAGATTTTCTAAAGATTGTCTTACCTCTGTTGCTGAAAGATAACCTAGAATAGAAACTTGTTATCACATTTGTATTTGAAATGTCCAGGCAGAACTACTCTGCCTATCTAACTCCCAATGAGGTCACTATAAAAGACCATATGATTGGTAATGAAATTAGGAGGCTACCAATGAGGCTATTCCAAAAGTTCTACAGGCTGTACGGCCTAGTTATAAAAAGTAGTCTAAGCCACACAATACAGAGACATGTGAAAGAAAAGGACATGTTAAACACAAGCCAATTACTTAGATTGCCTAGACAATTTACTTAGATTGCCTAGACAACTCTTGAATACATAACAACGCCAATGACCTTTCAATTTCAACCAAAGCCAGGACCCTCGGTAAGAGGAGAAAAGCACCCATTTAGAGTTAGCCATTTCAATTCTAACCTCCATAGTTTCTTCTATCTTTTCTTTCAACTTGCAAGAAGATGAACAAATGCAGTCACTATATTTAGCCATTAAAATTTGGTGAAGTCACAAAATTTAGTTATACGTGTAAGGGACATGTAAGCTAATGGATAATCTTTGCATCCAGTGCCCCACTTTAGAAACTTGGAGCATTATATTTTCATGTTTGAAGGTATAATTGGAAACAACGATTTAGTTTCAACTATATTTTTGAGTTGGGTACATTTAGGGTAGAGAAAAAAATTAATTGCTTCCTCGAATATTTTTTTCTTTTTTTCTTTTAAATTATGATTAGTTTGTGATTAAGTATAATACTCAATTAACAATAACAGTACTAACCATAAGGGACTAGCTGAGTCGTTCGATTTTACTCCCACGATGTCAAATGTCATGAGTTTCGTGCTTCCCGAAGATCATAAAGTTTGGAGGCCTTAGTAATGAACTCGGGGATTTTTTATTATCGAAAATATAAAATGACAATGTAAATGCTAAGCTTTGAGAAATTTCAACGGTTCCTTCCCAACCATCAAATCCTAATTGCACAAAAAAACTTTTTTTCTGTCCAAATGTTCATCTCTATACTAATTTCTACCAACTTCATTCACGCTGAAACCTAATATACTCCAGACCTAACTGATCTTCTCCACCTCATAAACCCTGATGCAGATGCTTTTCCAGACCACTGCTTAATAAAGATTTCTTATTGACAAATGATACGGCTTCTGAAAAACGAAAATCAAAATTAAAAGCTTTAAATTCTCGAGTTCAGTTCGGTATCTGAGAAGAGTGAATGAAAACAGCTTTGTATCCTTTCTCTTTTGTGATTTCTCAATTCTCGATTTTACCAAACAAAATATTAAATAAATTCAAATGTTAATGAAACAGCAAACATACCTGGAACAATTGGTTTCTAAAGACAGAAAAAAACCTAGATGCCGCTCAACGAGTCAGGCCCAGCCGCTCAGCCGCCACGGCGTTGATTTCTTGGTTTCGGTTTTCAATTGCAGAACAAGTTGGCGTCATAATACACGCCTTACCGTAAATGGGCTTTCATCTCGTGGCAATTTCTAACCATGGGCTGGGCCTCGGATTCGGTTTGTTTTTATTTGGACTCCAATTTGAACTTTAGTTTTCTGCTTTTAAAGTTTAAATGAAAACAAGAAAGGAAAAAAAGCCATTTTATCATAAAAATAATTATAAAATGCTTGTAGGATATTCAACGGGCTTTAGAGATTTATTAAGATGCATACAAGTTAGAGTGAATATCTCGGTTATAAAAAAAAAAATGATTATAAAATATAGAGGGATAAAAAATACATAAGACTTAGACTTATCTTAGATCCTTAACAAATCTAATTTAGTCGCTATCACATTAGGGTATAGTCCATGTACCAAATTGTCATCTCCACAACTAAGGATTTAAATAAATAAATATATAGGGTTTTCAATATAATAGTCAATATATAGGGTTTTTGTAACTGTCACAATTATTATTATACTTATTCCAAAAAGTATTTTGTGCCTCATAAATTTATTATAAGCTTCTAAAAGTTCTACTCTCCAACATAATTACATACATTCATTTTAAAGAAAATTATAATCCATTAAGAAGATTCTCCAACTAATTTGTCTTTTAATCCTTAGGGGGCGTTTGATTAGGGATAATGTGGGATTACTGAGGTGAAGTCATCTTATATTACTTGAATATCATGTTTAGTTGTTAAGTAATATAAGATATCAGTAATCTTCAAATACCAATAGTGATTACTATTAGTAATATTGGAGGTAATCTGATTATCTTCATTTTCTTAGGTATTCTAAGATTATCAGGGTTATTTTTTTTTTTTTTGGTTACAATTCTATCCCTTATTAATAAAATTTTATGACAATAATGCCTTTATTTTTGAATTTATTTACATGAATATGACTTTTACTATTTTACCCCAATTAATTAACTATTTACACAAAATTACCCTTGAATTCAAAACAAATTGCAGCCCACCCAAACCGTCACCCTCACCCGCCTGCCGTCGTCGGAACAACGCACGGAAGGCGGAAATGACCATCATGCACCGATATGGCCATTTCCAGGCCCTAGCCAGATATGGCCGTTGACGATCAGATCTGTCACGTATAGCCATTTCTTGCCTTCTGTGCGCCGTTAGATTGCCGACGGCCGGCGGTGGCTGGGTTGGTGGGGGTGCTTTGTTGATTTTCTAAACTTTTATTATGGGGTTGTTTTTGCTAAGTTTTTAAATACAAGGGGTTATAATAATCCAAATAATAATCAATATTAAAAAATAATATAATAATAATATTTAATTAGAGGATAATTCAGTAATTTAAATAACATATCCACCAATTTATTCTTCCCAACTAAACATATTAATATAACATACCCACCAATTAACCTAACATATTTTTCTAAAGATTCCTAATGATCTTAAAAGTAATCTAACTTTCTAATAATCCAACGTTTTCTGAATCAAACGCTTCCTTAATTATATTTTAACGCTGCCACATATCTTTCCTTTTTTGATCAAAACCATAACCATCTGCAGGTTTTCTTAGAGAAAATAATGGAGCCCAGCCAACAAATATGAAAAGACAAATTATCTTAAAAAGTGTGAAAAATTAAATGGGCAAAAAAAATATGATAGAGAGATTCGTTACCAAATAGTGGGGTGAGGGATGTTGATTTGGGTGATCGAATAGAAAACAAATACGATACAATGAAATCATTGGGGGGCGTTTGGTAAAAGGTAACGGAGTATTATTGGATTATATCATCTTATATTATTTGATTATCATATTTAGTTATTAAGTAATATAAGATTTTGATAATATTATACTACCAATAGTTGTTATTGTTGGTAATATTTGAGGTAATCTGATTACCTCTATTTTCTTAAGTATTGTAAGATTATCAAGGTAATCTTATTTTTGTTACAATTTTATTCCTTATTAATAAAAATTTTGGACAATAATGTCCCTGTTTTAAAATAAATTTACATTAACATATTATTTCAATTTTACCCTTGTTTAATTAAGTTTTTGGACATTAGTGCCCTTATATTTAAAACAAATTACAGACCACCATCGTCACCCAGCCACCACCGCCGGTAGCAAGCCAACCACAACGGACTGCCGCCAGAAAGCGAGTCCCTGAAAATGACCGAGATTCGCTGGGAGGCTCCAAGAGGCTTCGATATGGCCGTTTTCGGTCATATCGGAGCCTCGTGGTCACGGTGAGCTACTCACGACGAATTTCGGAGACTTTCAACAGTGGTTTGTGGTGGCAGCAGGCGATGGCAGGGGATGGGGGTGATTTTGTCATAAATTAAAATTTTATATAAGCAGAGTGTTTTAGCTAAATCTAAAACATTGGGGGTTAAAACAAATTATTCAAAAATTAATAATAAAAATAATATTATATTAATATTTAAAAAGAGGGTAATTTATTAATTTAAATAGCATACCCATCAATTTATTCCCCCTAATCAAACATATTAATATAACATACTTACCAACTAACCAAACACATTTTCATAAAGATTAACAATAATCTTCAAGGTGATATAAGTTTTCAGTAATCTAATATTCCCTGAACCAAACGCCCCCTTATTGCAATATGTAATTGTTGTGTTATATTAATTAGTTGCCATAAATATTTTGAAAGTCACTATTTATATAAGGTTTTATACAGGGAAAAAAAATCCAATTACGTTATAAACAACTAAGCAGCCTAAGAACACCAACTTCGTCAATTAGGCTACCTATTAAATAAGAGTCAAAGGTATCCAACTACAAGAATATACGGTGCTTGATAGAAAATTACTTTTGGAATCTTAGGTCAAAATAAAATAATTTACATTTAATAATATTACAAGCAAATTTTGAGGAGGGGAAGAGTTCATTAATTAAAATGACACACTAATAAATTCCAACCACTTAAACATAATATATTTTGATGGGTATCATTTCTTAATTGGTATGTTATAACTTATAACTATTATTAGGGCGTTCTATGAACATACATACATAGACAAGACAGAGATATGCAACTTGTAGTATAATACAAAGACTAAACCGTATCTTGTTATGTTCTACCTAGAGATTATGCCTAAAAAACTACGATATACTTTTTATTTGATATCTTTGTAAATAGTTAAATGATTATTATCTCATTATTTTGAGAGGTATTTATTTAATAATAATTTTAAGATATAAATTATGAGATAATACTATAAGTAACATGATAATAGTAAATATGTGTATATATCAACAAAATTCAAATTTATCCTAATTTTAGGTTAAAAAAATGTTACTATTTCAATTTTTTTTTTGATATTTCTAAATGCAAGAAGAAATATTTATTAATTTAAATTGTGTTGAAGATCCATTTCATGAATTTGTATCACGCGTTGGATCTGTAGCTGTACTCGGCGGTCTGTCTCTAGGACCATCGTCAATTACACCAACCCAAAGCTAAGTCATGTCGTGGCAACACCTCAATGGTCCATTCTATGCAACACAGTTTTGTACAATAAGGTATAAACAAAACCAAAAAAAGGACTGAAAACAATAATAAAGAAGTATGAAAGCAAAAGCATATTTATAAATAGGCCGGAGCTCTTTAAGCTCTTTAACTACCTCTACCTTCCCTCTTCACAGTAATAGTACAGATCTCCTCTTGTCTCTACGTTTGTCTCTTCGCCTGCTTTGTTTCTTTGGTTCTCTCACATTGTCTGGAGAATCTTCAACAACAAAGCAAATACCAAAGAAGAAAAGTAAGTCCAATCTCTCTCCCTCGCTCTCTTTTTATGTAATGGAAAGTGTCATTTCTTGCAAAAGAAACTTATGATTATCGTATTCTTACTGTTATATTTTATTGATAGATATTGTAATTACTGAGAGAGATTCTTATGTTGAAGTGGGTTTACTTAAACTTGTTTGATCTTTTTGTGATTATACTTTTACTTATGTACTTACTGCTCATTAATAGTGCAAAGATGATGTAGTTTTGTCAGTGTGGATCTGGTCTGTTTTTCAACAGATCTCATAGTTAAGCTCTGTAATTACGGGGAAATTGTTGGGTTTCTGTATGTTTTTTCTTCACAATGGTATTAGGAAACAGTTAGTTAAGCCAGTGTTAGACAAGTCGAAACAGTTCCTGATTCCGAATTGCTAAACGTGGTCTTTAGTTGATAGATAGTTCCTTGGACCACTTTTATGATTATGATGTAATGGCTTTGTAATTGAACTTAGAATGGTTAATTTTTGTTTGCTTGTATTGGTTTTATGGGATAAATAATAAAGGAGGAATAAGAAAAGAATGCTTTATCTTGTACAACAAAAGTAATTTGTAATCAATTTAATAGGTTGAGCCTATAAATACATAGTGAATCTTATGATTATTAGAGATTCATTGGAGAGAAGCAAAGTCATGAGCCTACAAATTCCCCTGTATCCAAGTTCTCAGTTACCACAACATAGAAAACAATTATTTTCAAAAGATATTTCTTTTCTTGAATTCCTCTATCTCCTGAAAATGTAGAAAACAAAGATATCATTCTTTTTAAAATTTTCCTTCATGTCTTACTGCTGCAATTTTGAATCTTACTCTTCTGCATTCCTTTTCATGCTCTGCACCAATTGTTTTTAGTATATTCCAGCAGTATCTCCTTGTGATGTTTTTCATTTTTGTATTCTAATATTGCTTTTTTATCCTATTTTAATTTTGGATCATGTAAAAGCTGTCGTGGAATGGCTACCGCATACACGCCAAAGAACATCCTCATGACAGGAGCTGCTGGTTTCATTGCATCTCATGTGTGCAACAGGCTCATCCGGAACTACCCTGATTACAAGATTGTTGTTTTAGACAAGCTTGATTATTGTTCAAACCCTAAGAACCTCAATTTCTCGAAATCATCTCCCAACTTTAAGTTCATTAGAGGAGATATTCTCAGTGCTGACTTGGTCAACTTCATTCTCCTAACTGAAAACATTGATACTATTTTGCACTTTGCAGCACAGACTCATGTCGATAACTCCTTTGGCAACAGCATTAAGTTCACTGAGAACAACATCCTGGGTACTCATGTTCTTTTGGAAGCCTGCAAAACCACTGATCGAATCAAGAGGTTTATACATGTAAGTACTGATGAGGTTTATGGAGAAACTGATGAGGATGCAATGGTGGGAAACCATGAGGCATCTCAGCTCCTGCCGACTAACCCATATTCTGCCACTAAAGCTGGGGCAGAAATGCTTGTTATGGCATATGGCAGGTCTTATGGTTTACCTGTGATAACTACTAGAGGAAACAATGTTTATGGGCCCAATCAATTTCCTGAAAAGCTGATTCCAAAATTCATCCTCTTGGCAATGAGAGGACAACCTCTTCCAATTCATGGGGATGGATCAAATGTGCGGAGCTATCTCTACTGTGAGGATGTTGCCGAGGCATTTGAAACTATTCTCCACAGAGGTGAAGTAGGCCATGTGTACAATATTGGGACGAAGAAAGAAAGGAGAGTGATTGATGTGGCCAGGGATATCTGCCAACTTTTCTCTTTGAACCCGGATACCCAAATTAAGTTTGTGGAGAATAGGCCTTTTAATGACCAGAGATACTTCCTGGACGATCAAAAACTGAAAGACCTGGGTTGGCATGAACGGACTACATGGGAAGAGGGTCTGAAGAAGACAATGGAATGGTATATTAGCAATCCTGAGTGGTGGGGTGATGTTTCTGGTGCACTTGTCCCCCATCCAAGAATGCTGATGGTGTCTGGAACTGAGAAAGAATTTGATGGGCTTGATATTGGAAATTCCGCTTTGACAAATAATTCTAGTCAAAGCAGATTAACGATGGTTCCAGCCCCTAAAAGTAAGGAGTCACTGATAGAAAATAATGGCTTCGAACCAAACAAGAAAACTTCTTTCAGTGGAGTGGCAAATTAAGCATTTCATCAAGTTAAACCCCAAGATTGATCTCTGCACTTCTTTGGGTCATAGGGTTTGGAATATTTTATTGAGTAATGCTATATTTACACCACCCATTACACCATTTTCATGGCATATCCCACATTCACACAAATTTTTAATTATTTTAAATTTTTAATATTATAATAAAATAATTATTAGTAAAATAGTGATGGTGTAATGAAAATGATGTAATGGATGATGTAAATGTAGCATTACTCTATTTTCTTTTTCATTATCATCAAACTATAATATCATTTAAGTTATTATTTTTTGTGAGTTTTAGTTTTGGCCATTNAGTCCATGTACCAAATTGTCATCTCCACAACTAAGGATTTAAATAAATAAATATATAGGGTTTTCAATATAATAGTCAATATATAGGGTTTTTGTAACTGTCACAATTATTATTATACTTATTCCAAAAAGTATTTTGTGCCTCATAAATTTATTATAAGCTTCTAAAAGTTCTACTCTCCAACATAATTACATACATTCATTTTAAAGAAAATTATAATCCATTAAGAAGATTCTCCAACTAATTTGTCTTTTAATCCTTAGGGGGCGTATGGTTGGGGGTGATGTGGGATTACTGAGATTAAGTCATCTTATATTACTTAAATACTGTGTTTGGTTGTCAAGTAATATAAGATACCGGTAATTTTCAAATACCAATAGTGGTTACTATTAGTAATATTGGAGGTAATCTGATTGACTTCATTTTCTTAGGTATTCTAAGATTACCAGGGTTATCTTTTTTTATTACAATTTTATCCGTTATTAATAAAATTTTAGGACAATAATGCCCTTATTTTTAAATTTATTTACATGAATATGGCTTTTACTATTTCACCCAAATTAATTAACTATTTGGACAAAATTACCCTTGAATTCAAAACAAATTGCAGCCCACCCAAGCCACCACCCCCACGCATCTGCCACCGCCGGAACAACGCACAGAAGACCGAAAATGGCCGCCGTGCGCCGATATGGCAATTTCCGGCCAAATATCTAGCCGTTGACGACCAGATCTGTCACGTATGGCCATTTCCTGTCTTTCGTGCGCCGTTAGGTTGCCGGCGGCCGGTAGTGGCTGGGTTAGTGGGGGTGCTTTGTTGATTTTCCAAACTTTTATTATGAGATTTGTTTTTGCTAAGTTTTTAAATACAGGGGGTTACAATAATCCAAATAATAATCAATATTAAAAAATAATATAATAATAATATTTAATTAGAAGACAATTCAGTAATTTAAATAACATACCCACCAATTTATTCCTCCCAACCAAATATATTAATATAACATATCCATCAATTAACCAAACACATTTTCCTAAAGATTCCTAGTAATCTTACTTTCCAGTAATCCAACATTCCCTCCATTTAAATACAGGGATGTGGATTTGGGTGATCGAATAGACAACAAATATGATACAATGAAATCATTTAGGGGGCGTTTGGTTGGAGGTAATGGAAGATTATTGGGTTATGTCATCTTACATTATTTAATTACTATGTTTAGTTGTCAAGTAATATAAAATTCCGGTAATCTTGCATTACCAATAGTTGTTACTGTTTGTAATATTGAAGGTAATCTGATTACCTCCATTTTCTTAAGTATTGTAAGATTACCAAGGTACTCTTATTTTTGTTACAATTCTATTCTTTATTAATAAAAATTATGGACAATAATGTCCCTGTTTTAAAATAAATTTACATTAATATAGTATTCCAATTTTACCCTTGTGTAATTAAGTTTTTTGACATTAATGCCCTTATATTTAAAACAAATTACAGACCACCATCGCCACCCAGCCACCACCGCCGGCAGTGAGCCAACCACAACGGATCGCCGCTGGAAAGTCGCTGAAGTCCATGAAAATGACCGAGATTTGCTGGGAGGCTCCGGGAGGCTTCTATATGGTCGTTTTTGGCCATATTGATGGCCGAAAACGGCCATATCGGAGCCTCGTGGTCACGGTGAGCTACTCATGGCAAATTTCGGAGACTTCTGACAGTGGTTTGCGATGACGGCAGGGGGTGGGGGTGATTTTATCATAAATTAAAGTTTTATATAAGCATGGTGTTTTAGCTAAATCTGAAACATTGGGGGTTAAAGGAAATTATTAAAAAATTAATAATAAAAATAATATTATTTTAATATTTAAAAAAATGGTAATTTAGTAATTTAAATAGCATACCCCCCAATTTATTCTCTCTAAAACTAACTAAACACATTTTCCTAAAGAGTCATAATAATCTTCAAGATAATATAAGATTCTAGTAATCCAATATTTCCTGAATCAAAAGCCCTCTTATTGCAATATGTAATTACTGCGTTATATTAATTAGTTGCCATAAATATTTTGAAAGTCACTATTTATATAAGGTTTTATACAGGAAAAAAAAATCCAATTACGCTATAAACAACTAAGCAGCCTAAGAACACCAACTTCGTCAATTAGGCTGCCTATTAAATAAGAGTCAAAGATATCCAACTACAAGAATATACGGTGCTTGATAGAAAATTACTTTTGGAATCTTAGGTCAAAATAAATATTTTACGTTAATATAGGGAAACTACATGTTCCCACCCAGGTTTGATGAAACGACACTTTAACCCCCTATCAAGTTTCAAAATAACACTTTCTCACCATTCGTTAGATTATGTTAATGTTTTCTGTTAATATTTGATTAAAAGACAAAATACCTTTAATAGTTTATTTCTTATTAGTTTATATAAATTAAAATTTAGTTGATTTAAAGTCTTATTCATATTATTATAGTCAAGTATAAAGGTATTTTTTTTTCTTTGTTTATTTAATTAATTAGAAATATTGATTTTTTATGTTAACTGTAAAATGAAAGACATTATAAATAATAGTGATGTGATATTGATGACATTATAAATGATATTCAGATTATTTAACTTTAAACATTTTTATAGCATTACTCCTAACTTTTTAGATGTGGTTAACTATTTTTCTTTTTTGTAATTTTTAATATTTGACTTTTGGCTAATTAAAAAATATAAGAAATTTATAAAGTAAAATATTTAAGGTTATTTTCATCTTTTCAGTAAATATTAACGAAAAGATAACACACCTAACGAAGGGTGGGAAAGTGTCATTTTGAAATGATGGTGGGAAAGTATCGTTTCGCCAACCTTAGGTGGGAAAATGTCGTTCTCCCTTAATAATATTACAAGCAAATTTTGAGGAGGGAAGTTCATTATTAAAATGACACACAATAAATTCCAACCACTTAAACATAATATATTTTGATGGGTATCATTTCTAATTGGTATGTTATAACTATTACTAGGGTGTTCTATGGACATACTACATAGACAAGACAGAGATATGCAACTTGTAGTATAATACAAAACAAACCGTATCTTGTTATGTTTACCTAGAGATTATGCCTAAAAACTAGATAACTTTTTATTTGATATCTTTGTAAATGTTAAATGATTATTATCTCATTATTTGAGAGGTATTATTTATAATATTTTAAGATATAAATTATGAGATATACTATAAGTAACATGATAATAGTAATATGTGTATATATCAACAAATTCAAATTATCCTAATTTTGGTTAAAAAATGTACTATTTCAATTTTTTTTTTGATATTTCTAAATCAAGAAGAAATATTTATTAATTTAAATTGTTTGAAGATCCATTTCATGATTGTATCACGCGTTGGATCTGTGCTGTACTCGGCGGTCTGTCTCTAGGACCATCGTCAATTACACCACCCCAAAGCTAAGTCATGCGTGGCAACACCTCAATAGTCCATTCTATGCAACACAGTTTTGTACAATAAGTATAAACAAACCAAAAAAAGGAGAAAACAATATAAGAAGTATGAAGCAAAAGCTATTTATAATAGGCCGGAGCTCTTTAAGCTCTTTAACTACCTCTACTTCCCTCTTCACAGTAATAGTGCAGATCTCCTCTTGTCTCCGTTTGTCTCTCGCCTGCTTTGTTCTTTGGTTCTCTCACATTGTCTGGAGAATCTTCACACAAAGCAAATACCAAAGAAAAAGTAAGTCCAATCTCTCTCCCTCGCTCTCTTTTATGTAATGGAAAGTGTCATTTCTTGCAAAAGAAACTTATGATTATCGTTTCTTACTGTATATTTTATTGATAGATATTGTAATTACTGAGAGATTCATATTGAAGTGGGTTTACTTAAACTTGTTTGATCTTTTTGTGATATACTTTACTTATGTACTTACTGCTCATTAATAGTGCAAAGATGATGTAGTTTTGTCAGTGTGGATCTGGTCTGTTTTTCAACAGATCTCATAGTTAAGCTCTGAATTACGGGAAATTGTTGGGTTTCTGTATGTTTTTTCTTCACAATGGTTTAGGAAACAGTTATGCCAGTGTTAGACAAGTCGAACAGTTCCTGATTCCGAATTGCTAAACGTGGTCTTTAGTTGATAGATAGTTCCTTGGACCACTTTTATGATTATGATGTATGGCTTTGTAATTGAACTTAGAGGTTAATTTTTGTTTGCTTGTATTGGTTTTATGGGATAAATATAAAGGAGGAATAGAAAAAGGCTTTATCTTGTACAACAAAAGTAATTTGTAATCAATTTAATAGGTTGAGCCTATAAAACATAGTGAATCTTTGATTTAGAGATTCATTGGAGAGAAGCAAAGTCATGAGCCACAATTCCCCTGTATCCAAGTTCTCAGTTACCACAACTAGAAAACAATTATTTCAAAAGATTTTCTTTTCTTGAATCCTCTACTCCTGAAAATGTAGAAAACAAAGATATCATTCTTTTAAAATTTTCCTTCATGTCTTACTGCTGCAATTTTGAATCTTACTCTTCTGCATTCCTTTTCATGCTCTGCACCAATTGTTTTAGTATATTCCAGCAGTATCTCCTTGTGATTTTTTTCATTTTTGTATTCTAATATTGCTTTTTTTATCTATTTTAATTTTGGATCATGTAAAAGCTGTCGTGGAATGGCTACCGCATACACGCCAAAGAACATCCTCATGACAGGAGCTGCTGGTTTCATTGCATCTCATGTGTGCAACAGGCTCATCCGGAACTACCCTGATTACAGATTGTTGTTTTAGACAAGCTTGATTATTGTTCAAACCCTAAGAACCTCAATTTCTCGAAATCATCTCCCAACTTTAA